AAAAGGCGACCCGACGTTGCCTTTTATTATATATATATATATATATATATATATTTCGTTCCGTCCAGTAAGGGATGGTCCGTGTACCGGTAAGCTGACGGACCGGTACGTACCGCCTGTACCGGATGGTATTATTTGAAATTGCATACCTTGGTTTTTAAATCTCATATGTGATTAACCAATCTAGCAGATCCCAGGACAAAAAGGAATGGCTGAAAAATATTAAGAATTAATAGAACTAAAATATGCATAAGTCATTTATTCTGCGTATTTGAACAGAGTTGGGCCAACCTTCACTTGAACCTGGGACCAGAGTTGAATAAATAAACCTGATGGGCCATCAAAATTGTGGGTCTAAAATGATGGGCTACTTCTGTATAATCTGCTGTTACTTGCTGAGTTGATGAGCCGGCCATGCTCTTTGCATCAGTAGTTGTTTCACCAAGAAATAACTTACTAATCGTGGTGATTAATCTATGTCATTGAATTTGCATCATCTGGCACTAGAGAGTTAGAGACCATTGGTGGAGTTGGAGACGAGTTTTACCTCAGTCTTGAAGGTTCTCTTTGTTTGTTTGTCATTTTTAGTTGATCACGTATCTTTGATGATGCTGTTCTCATTTTTTTAATGATTCAATTCTTGTGCTAGTAATAACACATGATAATGCCTTTATGTTTTTCTCAAACACATTCTGAGGCATTCTGGAAGGTCTGCATGCATGGGCTGCCTTGCATTTTCCTATAAATTTTTCTTCACTTGGTCTACTCGCTGGTGGACATGCAAATGTCTTATCTTCCTCCAAAGAAAAGATACATGCTGTTGAAGTGTTGGTGCTAACTTAAATCAAGTTTGTATTGTTATTTTATCATGTCTTTTTCTGTTGGTCCTTTAATCTCACCCGTTTGGTTATCGTGTTGTTTTATGTCAGGACAAACTTGCTAATGATTTAGACAGCAAAAATGATTCCGAACATCATGTTCATGCCAGTGGTACAAAAATTAGTAACTGTGAAGACCCAGCAAATTTGTTTTCATTAAATTGCTGTCAAGGTGAGTTGTCTTAAGGTTGACTTACATTTTGTGATATACCATATACTCTTCTCATATTGTCTCTACTTCTTCGAGCAGGCAATGAAACAGATCTTCAGAGAATCAAGCAGAAAGAGAATTTTATAACAAGTGAAGTTGTTTTGTACAGTCAACGATCAGAAAATGTTGTACAAGTAGACAGTCTTAGCTGGGAATCAAAGCCTAATCGGAAACGTGCACAACCCAGCTCAGTGGAAATGATAAGAAATTCTGCTGGTCATATGTTAAAACCCACTGCTGATGCAATGCAGTGGAAAGACGAGGCAAGCTGCACATCTTTGAGTGCTGAGCAACACAAAAAGACGAGGCTTGATAATGGAGGGCATGCTGCTTGTAGACTTAAGGAAGAAACTCTAAGCAGTAAATTATCTTCAAAGATACAACCTTTACCATCTGGCTTAATAAATGACAGCGTCTACCATGAGAACGTATCTGAAAGCTTAAGAAATGCTGAAAGATACTTCCCAATTGATTTAAGTCGTGCAACAAGTGCAAAGGAAGACAAGTTAATATATGTTCTTTCTTCGGATGATGAAGATTCACCTGAATCTAGTGCCCCGGATCTTGAATTAGCTTTGGGGGGAAACAGGGGACCAATAAAACAGGACACCTTGCCTTTGTTATCTACACAAGTTGTGCAGGGTAATCTAGACAAGATGCCTGCTACTGCAGTGGATGATGGTGATGGTTCAACAGCTTTGCTTTCGCTCTCGCTAGCTTTTCCTTCTTCTGATAGGGCACAGACTGCCAAACCGATTTCCCAGACACAGCAACTTTTGCCTGATAAGCCTTGTATTAACACTTCTTTGCTTCTTTTTGGTGGCTATGCAGATTCAGAGCACATATAGCTTGTAAGTTATTACCTGCAAGTGTAGCCAGAATATAGTTTCTTAAGATTACAAAGCATGATGAGGGCCCATGGCCATCTGTCCACTAGCCATAAATCGCTCCATTGCTTTTAACTCCAATTTTCTGTTTTTGCTCTTGTGTGCAGTCACCATGGTTTAGTGTATAAGAGAAGGCTGACCAGTATCTGGTTATTTGGGCTCCATTGATATGTTCCATGTAAGTTAGTTATCTAGCTTTCATGTGTTATTTGGCTCTCTCTAAAGTTTGCAAAAAGTATGTGAACTAATGCATTTCTAGGTATAAATTCTTATTGAGGTGCAGTCTTCTCCCTGAGAATGAAGAGGCATGACAATATCAGCATCATACTTCATCCTTGAGCCAGCTGGGTCCACTAGATGTACTCATGGTACATATTTGCTTGCTGAAGTGTGGTTAGTTTACTACTGCTCCACTTCCCCTTCCTGATGCTAATTACCAGATTGGAGCTTTCACTGTCTTGTACTTACAGCATTGGACAATTATCATGGGCCCTAGGTGCAGCAGATAACTCAGAACAATACCTGAAAAAGTACATTAGAGAGATTGAAGTTAAGTCCAATATTGTCATTATATCTTGTTTATAGTTCTTATTTAAGTTTTCAGGGTTAGGTTTCGAGTCCAGTTCATACTTGCAGCAGAATGTAAATGCCATCATTCCCTGTATTTAGTACATAGTTAAAAAATCGAGAGAGCTCAGGAAAATAATCCGAGATGCATCCAGTCATGCCCAAGTAGGTTTTTTACATGCTGGTGGATTATGGAAGCTAAGGTAGTGTTCTTAAAGTTCAATGTACATGGATGCTGAGGTGTCTAGCTTGTAGATTTTTTCGGTCAAGCGGCAAGTTTTTTTTTTTTTGTCTCCTTACCCACATGTTTCCTTTTAAGTGTCGGCACAAGATTGACATTTCAGAGTTTGTAATCATAATTTTGTTGTTACATTTTAGTTTTGTTGGAAAGAACCTGTGCTTGTATCTCATTTTGACAAACACATTACTCTCTAGAGTATCTGGATTGAGTTTTGACCTGTATTTTCTGCAGGAGTAAAACAAATGAAAACCAGATATCCAAGTACTTAGCTGATCTGTTTGTTTCACTTTGTTGTCCTGCTTCCATTCTACCGGCTGCAGCTTCAATGCATTTCAAATGTGAGTTATTATTTTTAGCTGTTCCATTTGGTTGCATCTCCTGCCCTACTAGCCAGGCATTAGTTGAAAAGTCTGACAAGTTTTTGACATGGAATCCAAATAGACAACCAACTAAATGAAAGGATACCATATCCAAGTTTCCTCATGGCTATAGCATATTTGTGTCTCATCACCATAAATCCTACTTCCATCTGGTTTACAACTGATGATTTCTGGGAACTTCCCATATGGCAAAGCTTCTGCATTTTGTTGAAGTGTCTAATGGCGCACCTTTGTATGTAATGTTTGAATGAAAAAAAGGTTTATGAAAAATATATTTAAAAAGCTAGTATTTTATTTTTTTTTATTTTTGATCTCTGTTATAGATAAATTATGAGAACATAGGGTTTTTTATTTTTTTTGAAAGAGGTGGCAAACATATATCACTGTTGTTGAGAAACCAATAATTGGGACACAGTATTCTCCTATGGTTTTACTGTTGAAGAAGTTGTTTTCTAGTCCATTTTTGTGACAGTAACTGAGTGATAGATCTGTATCTGTGGTCTTTTCAATCATCAGATATAACACTTGATGAAGACATCATTATCTGAGTTTTGAAACCTACCTTCTTGTGCTGTCTCTATCCACTCCCATGTCTCAAACAGGACCTCATTCCCCTTTCCATCACCTCTTGTGTTCTCAGGTCTTCATGGCCAGTGGGATGAAATCCTCAAAAAGAAGAGCCTCTTCACCACCTTATGAAACAACAGCATCAAATCGTTCATATTAGTAAATCTATGTCATGTCGACCGTCAACAAGAAAATCTCAAAAGTCAAAATCGTGACTAGATAGATGACATGTGTAGTTCAAGAACATTCCCACATTGTGATGTGTGCCTCGTTGATTCGATGAACAATCAATGATGACACTTATCACGAAGACACGATGAATTCAAAGTCATAATCTCCAAAAATGCTTAAATCCAAGTCGCTGATGGAATCTCGATTTCCAACTCAAACCACAGTGGTCAAATATATTGGCGCAGTGTCTGTGGACCCAAACATTGAATTAGAAGAGAAGTATCGTCTTCGCTCACCAGTAGCAGCCCCTTCGAGTACCGCCGCCGCCGGCTGCTGGCACGAGACGACGACGACGTCGAGGAAGGAGGGGGACGGCTTGGTGGGTCATGTAGCAGCGCGATTCTTGGCGTCTCGCTGCCACTCGACCACCTCTCTCTCTCTGAGAGCCACTCCATCGTCGTCTTTTTCCTCCGCCGCCGCCATGTCTGTCAACTCAACTGCCGTGATCCTGCAGGTTATCCTCAAATTTTCTTCAGTACCGTCTCATCCACGTCGCCATGTGAGATGGAGTCTGATCGCATTTGCAGATAATGACTGCTGCAACGATGTCACCACCGCATCTTCTTTCCATTGTGTGTGCATATATTTGTATATAGTTGAAGCAAATGAATATTAATTGAATTCTCAGTAGTTTATGATAACTTATCATTCAAAAAATTGTGACATCAATGTATTCATAATCTGAGCCTAAGAAACAGAATCAAAATACAATATGCATACTTTCGTATCATTTTTCTTGTTGATGATTTATCATAACAGTTATATATTACATACCTTTCTCGTTCTCCTCCTCTCTTTCATTTCACCATTCTTTCATCCCTCGACCAATCTATTGTCTCTCTCTCTCTCTCTCTCTCTCTCTCTCTCTCTCTCTCCGCACTCCAAACTCCACGTAAAAACCGTTATATGTTATTGTATTGTTAATGCATGCGTATGCCTTCGAGACACAAAAGAAATGTGTATGTCTTGACTGACTGGCGTCCGGTACAAGTCACCATTGAATTCTTCTCTCTCTCTCTCTCGCTCGCTCTCTCGCTCTCTCACTTCTTATTCTTCGTTCCTTTGCGCGTCCCCGAATACTTTTCCGCCAACCTTCCCACCGTAAACGACAGTCTGAAACGAAGACTTCTGTGCCTAACCATCTCCTTCTCCCACTCTTTTATCATCTTATTCTCTGCACACCTCTCGCAGTTTTTTTCGTTTGAATCAGACACAGCAGCACAAGAAGAAGAAGAAGAAGAAGAAGAGGGAGGAGGAGGAGAACGAGAAGAAGAAGAAGAAGAAGAAGAAGAAGAAGAATGGAGAGCTCCAGGAACCAGCACAGTCTCGGCGTCAACAAAGCCATCAAGAAGGAGGGCCCCCGCCAGCCGCGCGTCTACAACATCCGCAGCAGCGACTTCCGCTCGGTAGTCCAGCAGCTCACCGGCGCTTCCGCCTCCCTCCCGCGGCCGCGCCGCCTCAACCAGGCCCGCCCCCAGCCCCTGGCCCCCCTCCCCCGCCCCTCCGTCCCCACCACCCCGGCCGACCCCGCTGTGCCGCCGCCCGCCGAGACCCCCTTCTCCGCCTACATGCGCTTCCTGGAGATCTCCCTCCTCCACTCCGACGGCTCCCACCGCCCCGCCCACTCGCCGCTCCGGCCTTCCCCTCCTCCACCCTTGCCGCTCGACCTCGAGTCGCCGAGCGCGTTCCTGGACCTGCTGTCGCCCAGGTGCCCGCAGCTGTCGCCTTGACTCCGCCACCCTACGCTGCCGCTCCGTTCTCACCGGTAGCCTTGCAGCCTCCGCAACCGCCATCGCCGGGCCTGCTCCTTCCGCGGTCCTCCGGGGCACTTCGCGAGCCCCACGTGGAAGGATCCGTAGACAGTAAGCGATCGATAGGTTTCTCACAGTCATTCGATTCGTCGGGAGTCTCAAAGATGTAATCTTTTCGTTTCGTTCGTTTCTCTTCCTTTCCCTGAATCAACTGCACGCAGTCAAAGAAAACTGCATGCAGATTCTTTCTGTTCTTACCAAATGATCGCACAGCTTTGTTCTCTCACCCCGTGGATCCGTACATGAATTGTGGATAGATTAAACCTTATGATATTATATTCATAAATAAAATTATATTTCATTTTATTACAGTAATATAATTCATTTTCATCTGCATCTTACAATCAAATATAGCATGGTTCGTCTTATGTTCTTTGTTTTTAGATGATTTTATGGGTTTTTACATCGAATTTGATATGTTTTCATGTTGATTATGAAATCAAATATAATAAATGCAATATCATAACTCGTTTCAGTCTCTTAATATTAATGGACAAATATAACATAAATATTTATTTCATTTATTTTTTTTTTTTTTTAAATTAAGTCAAATTTGAAAGCATTCAAATATAGATTAGATGGAATATAAACTAATTATAAATTACCTTTATAATTAACTATATTTATATTTAGTATCTCGATCTCTATATCTTTAAAAATTATATTATGATTCATATATTGATTAAAAATAAAAAAAAATATTAAAATAATTAAATTAAAAATCTTATTTCGTAAATATAAGAATCTCAATGTAACTTTTAAATGTTTTATTTTCATAAATATAAAAATCTCAATATAATTTTTAAAAAAATCTTAATATAACTTTTAAAAATATATAGATCGAAATATTAAAAATAATTTATTATAAAAAATAATCTAAACTAAATCGAGATGCTAAAAATAACTAATTACATTCCAATTCCAATTCCAATTCACAAAGCTTGAGAAAATGTTAACCATTCTCAAATGTTAACCATGACCAAGTCACATGAGATGCATGCTTCAAAGCCACATTTCTCAGAGCAGATGCATGTTCTCCAAACTGGCTTTGATTTGTTTGTACAGTAAGTAGGTCTCAGAGAGGAAACAAAATCTAATACAAACATACATGTTATATAATCCATGCTCAACCCATACGAGGATAAATCTACACCAAATAAACTGCTGCTGCAAAAAGCCCATTTTGACTTTCCACCTTAGAGGGCCTAATGGTCATGTATCCTTGATATTGATATTATATGGTCAATGATGATGTACAACAAGGACCTAATGGTCTCAGAAACAACAAAAAGATAAAAAAAACCATGTTAGAGAAGACTGGTGCAACTTCAAGGAAATATATAAGCTGTGTGTTCCACATAAGATCTCTTAAGCAATAGCAACAGGAAGGATTTCCCAAGAACAATACAATTGGCTCCGACACATACCTGTTTGACTCGCAGTTAAAGTAGCAAAACTAAGCCACATATAATGTGTTTGCCGGTTGACTCTTGAGAGTAATGTGATTATGATGTTATTATAGATTGCATCCAACAAAAACACACAGGCGTGCATTTTGTTCACTTATTGCTATGTGGGGCAAGATGCCCCATCTGCATTGTGAGGTGATCCATGCTCTGGGTACTGTCCCCATAATTCCCTGCTTCTAGCCCTATTTCCTCAGTTTCATGCAAGTCTGAATCAACCTCGTCGGCATCTCCCAATAGTGGGCTTGCAGTCAAGAATTGTTCCCAGAAAGGATCATTTATGCTTGGAAGCTGCTCGTCATCGCTTAAGATGTCCATATCGGAGGTAAACTTTTCAGTCTCAATTCCTGCCAGCTCATCCATGACATCAGAAATAGGGTTCATAGGAATGCTTCCTCCGTTAGACCCTGCATAGCTATGACTGAATCCGTCAGGCATCATAGCCTGCATTTGAGAAAGTTCTGATATGCCATTATTAGTATGAGATGGAGCAATAGTCCCAGACCTCAAATCCATGTTAGGCATTTTGGTGGTTGTAACCATATGTGCTACATTGGATGACGATTGAATCTCAGATGACACAGGAGGTGGCATTGCTGAATATCCAGAGCTTGCTGGCAAAGATGGAACACCAGAATTTGTAGGTGGCACTTCAGAAAGAGTGACTCCTGAAGTCCGCTTTAGAGAACTGCTATCAAAAGCCTCTAGAGGTGAAGAATAATTCTCGATTAAAAAGTTCTGGGAGTTGCCAAAGGATTCCAATCTAGGAGATGTGTCATACTTCAGAATTTGCATCAGCATTGCTTTTGCTGCTTCATTTATAAGGGGCTGGTATTTAATTATTTGACCATCCTGCATAGTGGTTTCACCATCCAGCTCATTTTCTTGCCTAGGCAATCTCCGCTTTTTGCTTACTCCAACTATGCGCCGATTGTTGTCATTTTGTTGCACCAACTGGGCTAAGAATCCAGGGCTCTGCATGGCTTTTGCCAAGAATGACATCATCTGTTGCTGGCGCTGTTCCATTCCTTGAAGGCGCTGACCTAAGGTGTTTAGCTGCTGATCAGTAGTCTGCTGCTGCTGCCTCAGCCTAACCAGTTCCTGCATTAGTATATTCTTGTCTCTCTTGAGCCTTTCAATCTCTTCTTCTAACCCAAACTTCCCCACCTCAATAGTATTCTGTGTTTGAGGCTGCTGCTGCTGCTGCTGCTGTGGCTGTTGATTGTGTCCATGGGTTGATTTTCTCCTACTGATGGCCTTCAGCAAATGTTTTTGACCCCTCAGGAATCCCTCGTTAGCAAACTCCCATCGATCAGGATCAACCTTTCTAAAACCCTGCACAAACAATGAGACACAAGCCAGAAAAAGAAATTAAATTCAGTGTTCTAAACCCCAATACAACCATTTAAAACAAGCCAAAAGGTACCAACTATGGTCCAACCATTCTGAACTTCAAATCCAAGATTCAATGTGACTAGCAAAACCCACCATTACATGCTCCCCAAGTTGGAAATACTACTTAACAAGAAAAGTTCCCAAGAAGTCACTAAACTAACTTGAGTCTGTCATACAAGTGTGTTTGTTGTGATTCAAAAAAGTTGTGCAATACAAGGTATTTTTTTTAAAAAAAAAGAAAACAATTTCTATCACCATCAGTAACAATTTCCATCAACATCAGTGAAGAAAATGGGTCCATTTTTACCTTAGAACCCGTTTCTTTCCCACAAGGTTAGGTTTTTGTGGCAATTCTTATACATTAGTCTTGTCAAACTTACCATGATATAATCTTCCCCCCACCTTCTATAAGGATCAAGAATGGTTATGCTTATTATATACTTTCAGTGCATATAATCATGGTTAGTAGATTTAGAAACTAATTTGGAAATAGTAGATGAGGCAATCCGGAAACAAGATTCACAAGAATTAAAAAACTATCATAAAAAGATAAGCTAAATATTTGCATGGTTTTTTTGGTAGCCAGAATGAATATAACTTGTGTGTTAAAGCCATAAGTGCAATCTAATCATGATAAAGTAGTCAGCTTTGATAAGGCTCGACTTCTTACAAAAATATCAAATTCCAATAGGATATAACCTTCCTATCTGGTATTCTCCAATTTAAGGAGGAGAAATGAAAAAAATGACAAAAGAGAAGAAAGAACAACTAACTAGTGGTAATTCTACTGCAATGAAGAAAAATAATTATCCAAGACAACCCCTGGGACTTGTAGGCTACTAGTGCGATAAAATTAATACTGTACTCCAATCTCAAAACAACTTTTTTTTTTAACTTTCAGCAATAATATAATCTTAGATATATTAATTTAGTGCTGTAGCAACTTCCTTTTGCCCTGTCGTCCAACAGTTTCTTTAATTTTCAACAAAAAGTCCTGTCAAGTTGGAACGCTGTGCTTCTTAGCCTCCTTAAGTTTATATCCAAGAGGGTAATATAGGCTGCTAGGGTTGGACAAGAAACACTTCACTAGTCCATCTAGAAATCCCATTTACTATATGATACAGGAGATATCATAGGAGGCGACCATCAACTTATCATCCTCTTCTGACCAACACATAATCGCCACATGGTCGACACTTGGCCGACACATCACCTTCGTCTGGCCGACACCCCGATCCCATTCAACCAACACATCATGAGGGATCCAAACCTATTATGCCGATAACATGGCGCCAATAAGGATGTTGATTCAGCTCCATGGGTAGGCGAAAAGCTACTTCAACAAGTCGTTACTTTTTATCCCAAAGTTTAAAAACGATTCTATGACCTATTGATGGTCGAAGGATGTGCATAATTGTTCTCGACATTTACCACGACCTCAACCCAATATACGTCTACTGCACTATAAACCCTAAAAAGGACTTAGGTGTCTCCTTGACGGCAAACACATATGATGGAATGCATTTACTGAATCCACTGAGCCTGTACTAACGTAAGCATCAAAGGAATCTTATAGGGCATGCCTCTGACATAGTTTTTTTGCAAGATCTCGGGCCAAATCCCTCGTATTCTCGACACTTCGAACCCCCACGTGTTGGATAACTAGAATATGTTGTGACAATATACTCTCCAAAAGCTTTCTGTATCTGCTTTGAATCAAAATAGGGCTGAATAGGTGCTACAGTTGTTGCCACATCATCATCCAAGTCAATTTCATGAACTCGCTCAACTAGTTGTAGTGATGAGCCCTTGATGCAGTCCATAACAGGGTTGAACAAGGTCCTAAACTGGTCAGCCGAGTCAAACTCATGGCCAACCTGGTCTAGGCACAAACCAAGTTCAGGATAGCATATTCTATGATCTTTAACCATCATTCCCTGCCCTGAGACTACTATATCATTTTTTCGATTTTTATTATACTCTTCTGTTTCTTTTGGATCTAATGTATATTCTATTCAGTTCAGACTATACTAATTCAGCATCAGTGCTATTGCTATACCTAAATCAAACTGGAAGGTTGATTGCAGATGATTAAACATTTAGAATTTATTAATTATATTTGAATCATTGCTCATCCAATGTTTATGATGCTGCTTTTATCTTTCTTCTTTCCTTTTAACACTGTCATTTCTAGCTATCATTCCCTTCTACATCGATCTACATACTAAATAGCAAAATCCAAACAAACTTCCAGCACCAAGATTGTAAATAATAAACATGTGAAACCATGCAAAAGTTAACAAATTGAACGTGACAGCAAAAATGAAAGAAATAGCTTTCTACTTTCTCTGCTTCTTCTTTGTCCAGTCAACGTCATTCCTTCACTTCTACGATGTGCTGCTTCTGATTTCTACCACAGAGGACAGGAACCCCAGAGCACTAAGAGGACTATCTCTACTTTAAAGAAAGAAGTTTACTATTCATAATCCCCTTTTTATTATTGACAAACCCTTGTTATTGACAACCACTTTAAAAAAAATAAAATTTTAAAACACTAGTTACAGTCCTAGAATTATCGATATTACCTTTTTTTTTTCTTCCCCACAACCCCGTGCTCCCCTTGCGCTCCCTTCCAATGCCGTCACCAAATGCTGCCCTGCACTCACCACCCCCTCGACGCCGTCCTCTGAGGAGGAAGAAGAAGAGGAGGAGAAAGAAGAAGATGAAGAGGAGGACGAGGAGGAAAACAAAGATATCTAAGTCCATTTGCAAAGGGGCAGTTTAGAAATATAAACAAATTTTAAAATGGGGTTATAAATAGTAAAAATGGGTTGCAAATACTAATCTCCTAAAGAAAATAAGATTTTTATCTGCGAATTCCCAATTTTCTCCATGTCTACCGCACAAACTTCTCAACTTTTGACAATGTTCCAACTCCGATTTATTACCATCCGAGCTACCCTAATCGATTCAATCAAACTCGAGCACACAAAATTTATCACCAAAAAGATGAACTATAAAATTAACTAGGTTACAGACGTATTGTATAGAAAAACCAAAAGATTGTGGGTTCAGAGGAATAGGCGTACATAAGTATTGAGCTGGCGAACGAAACTGGAGAAGTTGTTGTGCTTGAAGTACTTAGGTAAGAGGTCCCTCGCGAACTCGATGGTGTTCCACACCACGAAGCTGTTGTTGGCCGGCCCCCACGACACGATGGCGTCCGTCGCAGAGTCGTCCACCATCTCGTACGTCTTGCTCAGAAACGGCGGCGGCGCCCCGCCATTCAGGCACGCGTTAGCAGTCGTCGCCACCGTTGACGCTGACGCAGAGGCCCCGTCCGCGTCTCCTCCTTCTCCGTTCATCCCTTCGCCGTCAAGAATCACCAGTAGGCGTTCAGACGGAACGCGCTCGATCGAGGAAGAATTGGGGCGGAAGGTTAGGGTTTTGGAAGGAGGGAATCGATCTTACGGGTGAGAACTGGGGGATGGGAAGAGAGCGGTGGGAGCTTCGGGGGATAGCAAGGAAGAACCACAGAAGAGTCGGCGGAGAAGACGGGGAAGAAGCCGGAGAGCGGCGCTGACGAACACAGTCGATTAAAGAATCAGTGGATCCGATGAGAAGCCATTATTGTAGGATGAGGATCCTCTCCGAGTGCTTCAATAACATGCGTGAATAAATTCGCATCACATCCGTTAATTTATTGGACCCAGCCATCACTGACGGATATGAGTGGCTGAGCAGAAATTTACTTCAAACAAGAATTCAAGGGGATCTCAACCCCTTTCACAAGGCAGTATCGTCGAGTGTTGGGCGGAGAAGATGAATCGAAGATAAATGCCTTTTGTTTCGGTCCACCCTGACGTACCTCTTTTGCTACCAGCGTTTTGAATGGAAGAGGAAGGCCTAACAAGTGGGTCCCTTGTCGGTCCCACAGTTCTGGCCTATAGCAATTGAGGAAGCCTGGACTGTTGGTTACTGGTGATCGATGGCTTGCCAAATAGGTTTATATTGACCGTATTTGAGCCAATAGTTTGACTCCTGGTCCGACACAAATGCTGACCTCGGGCCAACAGCGCCCGCTGCTTTTTGATTTGTGTTAATATCCCACGCACGAATCATGGAACAAAGGCAAAACTTTGGACAGTCGAGATCTTATGGTCTTATTTCCTTTATCAATCGAGACACATCTCTCTCCCTCTCGTCCTCGATCTGTGGCTCCCGGCGATGGCGACGCGACAGCTTCCCCGCCTCCTGAAAACCCTAGATCCCTTCCGCGCCCCGCTGGGGACGAGGGCGATCGGCTCTCTCGTCAGCGATCACACCGCCAAATGGATGCAGGTAATCGATTCGATCCCATCGTTTCTTTTCTCCCTAGTTCTGTTTTGATCGGATGTAGCTTCGCGTCGGTGCCACCTTGGTTCCGGCAGGGCATGTTATTTCCCTATTAGGGATCCGATTGGTTTGTCCGTTTGATGGGGAAGAGCATGCCATGTGGTCTCGATGGGATTTCATGAATTCGTCTCAAAATGTGCCTTTTTTTCCCTTAATAATTACGATTAGGGTTCGTTGGAAGGGTTTCTTCCAGTGGTTCTCCCAATAATAGTAAGTCTGTACCAAGAATTAACCTTCAAGCTTTATAGCTTTGCACTTACTATGGACAAGCATTTTGTGGAGTATATACTGATTGCTGTTTGTTGGTTGGGTAGAGTATATATTAGAACGAGATATGGAGAAAATGTTAGAAGCTAAAGATTTTACATGACATAGAGGTAGGTTTAATGATCTGATGCAACTCTAGCTTTAGGAAGAGAAAATGGAGGTAAAGTGAATTGAATTATCAACCATTCCAAGAAGTGAATTTCTTGATATGTTATATTATTTGATGGGAACAAGAGATTGAAGAGTGTGGTGCTTATAGAATGAAAAACTGGGATTGTTAGAACTGAGAAGAGAAATCTTGAGATTTATGTGTCACCCACCAAGTATCATTTGCACTAAGCAAATATATATCAGATAATTACAAAATTATTATGTCTATTGAAATTAGAAGTGCCAGAGAGATGGAGTGAGAGCATCGGATACTTGATCAGAAAGAGAAAGAAAGGATGTGACAGAGCTTGGTTATCTTGTAATTTAGCTACTATCAGTACTCAACCAAATGAAGGATCTATAATATTCATCTCCATTTAGTTGGGAATTATTCCAATTATATGGTGAACTTAAAACTTGATTTAGGCCCTGTTTGATACACAAGGTTCTAAAGAAAGTGAATCTAAATATAAAAAGTGTTCATGTAAAAGGAAAGAAAAAGAAATGATCATTGGCTGTTTGCTTGATGGCAAAAATGTGAGTGAAAAAGCAACTGTATCAATTTTCTTTGCAATATTAGTACCTTTGTGGGGAGAAAATTTTTGCCCATTTGGGCGGTTAGATAGAATTTTGATGCAAAACTTTCTCCTTCGACATTTTAATTCTTTTATACAATGAAATCTGACTTAGACACACTCTGTTCGATATCTAATAAAAGTGCATCTAAAACATGTGTAAATGAGTTGTGCAGGACACCCGCAAGAAATCACCAATGGAGTTGATCAATGAAGTGCCTCCTATAAAAGTTGAAGGACGGATTGTCGCTTGTGAAGGACGTAATCATCCGACTTAGTTCCACCTCTTTTAGTAACTTCTTGCCCTCCCATCTTTTGCTCATTTCGTGATGCTGACAAAATTGCTGTTCAAAATGCAGATAGTAATCCTGCACTAGGCCATCCAATAGAGTTTATTTGCCTTGACCTAGAAGCACCAGCTGTATGCAAATACTGTGGCCTTCGTTATGTTCAAAACCATCATCACTAAGACGACAGAATCCAGCCGAAGCGCTGAACCTTGAGTGTTCTTTTATGATCCAAGATTTATGCTGGCTGAAAATGTTCATGCTACCTTGATTTACTCGACGTATCATAAGAAAGCTGAGCGAGTGCTTAGCTTTCCACAGCTTAAACTGGTTTATGTTGTTATTACAGTTGTTTCTTTTGGAGTGTGTAAGTGGCTCCTTGAAATGCTTATTCTCAATAACCTTATGTAGCAGAGACTAGCGTGGATTTGCCATTAGTTAAGGTATTATCATTATAAGCATCTCACTTCGCAAACCCGGTCTGCTTTGATCATTATTAACACTGGACCTCACTGGCATTCCAGGAGGCAAATCAGTGATAGAAAAAGAAGTTGCAAACAAATATGTATGCATCAAGTTTATGTTTTGTTGGATCACTATTGTATTAGTGATATTTTATGGAATCAAATGTTAGATGGTTAAGAAATAACATATGCATTGCTAAATGATATGATGGATGGCTCTGTGGAGTGACAGAAAGGAAAAATAATGTCTATTAGTAAACAAATAAGTATAATTTTGATAGATAATAAAATGTGGATAAGTTATTTAAGATGACAGATTGTTTGGTTGCCAGCACTAATCCTTAATATTCACATATGAAGCTTAGCAATGCCTCTGCCATCACAGCGTGATAAGGAATTCATCGATTATAGTTCCCAGCAAAATCACTTAGCACAGAAATGACAAAAGCAAGCAGGAAGAGGAATTGTGGGTTTATTTGGCTGCAAAATTTCAGGAAGACGACACAATCATCATACAAATATAGTGAGCCAATATACTGAGGTTCCCATGGTGACATCTCATTTTCCTTTGCCCTAAGAGGTTTTCACACTAGCCTGTTTGAATCACTTTCTACCAATTTGAAAACCTAACCCAGCATAGCCTCATCTGCAGCTCCATCGACTCCAATCACTCGGATTTTTAACGCCGTCTTAGTTTGACTAGTAGCCATAACCTGTCATCAAACAGAGTATAAAGAACATATATCATACCAAAAGGGAAGTGCCGCAAAAAGCAAATGCGAACCAGTGGGTTGGATGCGGTTAGATTAGTTCGGTCTTGGGGATACCTGAGTTGTCCATTGGATTTCCGGCAGGCACAGGCTCAGGCTCCTTAATGTCAACAACCACGACATCTGATGTGAGGAAAGTCTTTGCCACTGATGCGGCATGCTCCAAACAACACCTCACCACCTGTTTCATTTTACATGGTAATTCAAACTTTCTACAGCAGATGCAAAATGCATCCATTGCCGGATCAAATCAAGGGCAATAACTTGGGTAGAGATTAACACGCATTTATCACTTTCCATTATTATGGAATTTTAGATTGATTTCTTACAGGCAAAAATGGTATTAACATATTTTCAAGAGAAACGTTGAATACCTCAATCTCTATGAGAACTATTTTTCAGGCAAGTAGTGTATTAATCAATTAAACTGAAGTAAAATAATTTAAATTGCTAATCCTACAGCGCATGAATACGAACAGGTTGTCACCCATGATTACTACTGCAAAAACTATTGTGTTGCATTAAAAGAATTTAAATTTTGCAAACACTAAGTTCGTAGAAAAGAGATATACAAACCTTAGTAGGGTCGATTATACCAGCAGCCATCAAATCCTCGTATTTCCCGGTAGCAGCATTATAACCATACTTGAAGCTATCATTGGCCAGCACCTAATGCAATTATCAAACAATTAGCTTAAATAAAATGCAAATCTGTTAAACAAATCACTCAAGCAAAAAATCACAAGGCATCAAAGACCTTCTCCGTGACCACACTTCCATTAACGCCAGCATTTTTAGCAATCAGCTTCAGTGGGTAGCTCAAGGCCCTCTTGACTATGTCCGCACCAACCTGTGAAAGTAAAATAAGAAAGAAAGGCATTGATATTGTATATCTCAGAGATGTCAATATTCAACATAGTATTGTTGCGCCATTGTTTTCTTCTTGAGGGAAAAATATATATTATCATATATATGCTAACCTTTTGCTCGTCATTGTCAAGTGTTTCCTTGATGGCATCGACTTTTGATGCAAGCCTCAGAAGAGTACAGCCACCACCAACAACAATACCTTCCTCGACAGCAGCCTAAACATAAAAGAATTACAAAAAAACAGTTGATGAAAACATAAATCATAAAAAGAGATAGCCAACTATGAAACTAATGGCAGATCAACAGTCAAACCTTGGTAGCATTCAGAGCATCTTCAACTCTCAACTTCTTCTCTTTTAGTTCTGTTTCTGTTTGTGCTCCAACCTACACAAATTTGAGAAAAATGAAAGGCACGATGTGCCATTTTGCATGTAACCATGGAGCCTAGTGTGCAAAAAAGAAACAAAGGAGATGGAGTAACCTCTATGTAAATGCTTCACCCTACCTGAATGACGGCAACACCACCAGACAGCTTTGCTATTCGCTCATTAAGCTTTTCCTTCTCATATTCTTGCTCCGCAACCTAGAAATAGAGATTGATAGAGCTTAGATGGTTTAGGAATTTAAGCTTTTATAAGCCAAAAAATGTAAAAATATATATATTTTTTTCTATATAATACAACCTCAATCAGATTCTTTATCTGTGCAACTCTTTTAGTTACTTCCTCCTGCGTACTCCCATCTCCAACTATTGTGGCTGAATCTTTGGTGAGTACAACCTTGGCAGCAGTACCCAAGACCTCTTTGCCAGCTTTATCCAGTGAAAGGCCAACTTCATCTCTAATTACAGTAGCTACATAAAACCAACAAATAGTCAGAATCTTAGGATGACTAATGAACTCATGTTACAGAAAGAACAGCTGTCAATGAGATACTTATGAAAAAGGAAATGGATCAACCTCCAGTCAATATCGCAATATCGTCAAGGTACTGACTTTTGCGGTCCCCAAATCCAGGGGCTTTTAGTGCAGCAATCTTCAGTGACCCTCTTAATTTATTCACAACAAGAGTTGCAAGGGCTTCCTGTTCAATATCTTCTGCAATTATGACTACTGGGTATCCCCCTCTTATGGCATCTTCCAAAACATTGATAAGATCTCTAGCGTTGGTGATTTTCTTGTCAACTAGAAGCAACTGAACACAAATAGACATGATTGTCAAAATACAAGCTTAACATGCATACAGATAACATGGCAATACGACTCCTGATGACATATATAGAAGTACTTCGTGTTTGAGACCAAACCTTGCAATTCTCATATTCAACTGTCATTTTTTCACTGTCTGTCACAAAGTAAGGGGAAATATAACCACGATCAAACTGCATCCCCTCAACAACATATAGGTTGTTCTCAGCACTTTTCCCTTCTTCGAGGGTAACCACCCCCTTCCTCCCAACCTTGCTCATTGCTTCAGCAATCATGTTCCCTATCTCATAGTTGTTACCAGCACTAACAGCTGCAACATCCGCAAGTTCACTGTCTTCTACCTGCAACATAAGAATGCATGAGCATATGACAGGATTTCATGATCAGTTCCCTAACTTTTTTTCCTAGCCTGACTTTACCATTGGTTAGGAATACAGTTTACCTCCTTAGACATCTTCTCAAGTTCGGTAACTAGTGCTTTGGCAGTTTTTTCAATGCCACGAGTAATCTGAACAGGGTTAGCACCGGCTGCAACCACCTGCATGATTTACAAGTATAATAACAAGGAAAGAGAAATCTATCCCTACAAAAGAAAATATATGCAGGGAAGATGTACCTTAACACCTTCCGCAATCAGCCCTTGAGCAAGAACAACTGACGTAGTTGTCCCATCGCCAGCCAAATCATTGGTCTTAGCAGCCGCTTGTCTTACTAGCTTGGCACCAATGTTCTCAACAGGATCTTCTAGCTCAACCTATAAGGCAATTAAAGTTTGATAAGGATTCATTTATAGTTCACATGACTAATTCAAAGACTTCCATGACTTCAAGTCTTAAATCACCAAACATCAATTTGTTACACAATTTAAGAAAAGAGAGGGAGAATGCATACTTTGCCTTTCAATTTACAGTGCACAGATTGAGGAATATCGATGACAAATATCATACAGTAAAGCAATAGAGATTATCAGTAACAAAAGCAACAAAGAAAAAGCAGCTGAGGATGCAAAATTTGGAAGACAACATTCTTATATTTTTCCTATAAGCTACAAGATTAATTCTCCAACCATTTTGACATGAAGAAAATTTTATATCCTGAATTTAGCATTATATCTACAATTTCCATAGAAATGACAATGGAATCATACATTTACTAAGAAGTATATACAGAACTAAAACCTCACAACCAGCCATCAAATATTTGCATGCACATCACAATCAAAAGACGAAGCATATCATAAAAGCTTGGACATGAGATGCAGGGAAAACACACCTCTTTTGCTACTGTCACCCCATCATTTACAATCTTAGGTGATCCATACTTGCTTTCCAAGACAACATTCCTGCCCTTCGGACCAAGGGTAACCCCAACAAGGTCTGCAAGCTTGTTGACACCAGTCTGGTATGACCAGTTGTACACATAAGAAACTATAAATGACACTTAATTTATATAAGAAAAAGGCATGCTTTGAAGAATTATATCTCTACAAAACTCACTTGTAGCTTTTTAATAGCTGATCCATCCTTGTTGAAGTATAATTCCTTAGCCATTGCATTAATCTTAGAGTTGCCTCTTCTCAGATAACACAAGCTCTGTCCCCTGCCGCTGATTGCAATAGGTGATATAGAAGAAAAAGAAGAAAACTGGGAGAACTTTTGTTTAGAAGCCAAGAGCTTCTTATTTGGTCTGACATTGCTAGGAGAAGCAATAGCACCAACAGTAGACATTGCATAGAAAGTAGCAGCCATTGCCTGTCGATGAAAAACAACACAGCTTTATAGCTCACAATGGTGTACAACGAAGATTCTCATCTACAAATTTTATAGAAACATACACAATAATGTGTCCAACAAAGCAAGATAAACATAATAATTTGTAGGTCACAAATGATATTGTAGTGAAAGCATAAAACAAGTGAACATGGAGTACAACTTTGACAAAGGAGCATAACGACTCAATATAGTCGAAACAAAGTCTAGTAGAAGATACTGTAATTATATTCAAGTTCATAAATGATGCATCATGCTACCTAGTCTTGCTGAAAAGTAATGGTTGGATATGTTCAGTTATCAGTTATCACCATACAAAATATTCAATTGATAAATGAAACTAATCATGGTGTGGCATTAAAAAGATTCAAAAATTAAATCCCACATTACTCAGGCAAAAAATTATTTGCATTATCACACAAAATGAACATAAGTTTCCAACTAAAAGGCGTTACTTAAATATGGGGGATGCCATCCTAAAGTACACTGTTCTAGGATAAATCATGTGATCTTTAGCAAACTGGGTAAATTAGGTAGACTACGTCCTTTGAACCTGTTATGGAGACAATTATTCAGTTAGGTTAGATTTTGTTATGAAACTTCTCAAGAAACCAATCTCAAGAACCAAAATTTTCAACTGTCAGAAACATCAGATAACACAGTCCACAGGTCACATTTTGTAGGTTGATTAGTCTAGCAAAATTGTATATTCTAGTTTCTTATCTCTCATATGCTTCCTATTATGGGATGTCAACACAGTGCATGTGCATGTATCACCTTTTAGAACCTAACATGCCCATCCCCTTCCCACAGTCACACAATCAATCACATCTAGTGAGTCTTTACTTTGCCCACCATCAACCTGACAGAACAAATCATATAGAAAGCATAAAACATGTATTGGTCAGATTCCTCGAATGTAGTTAACTGGCAATAAATGGATCTTTTGTTTGGGCAGAGAAATTTTTTGCAATGATACATTCAATATCGATCTCGTTCCAAGATGTAGCAACTGAAATCTTGATCCTCACAAGTTAATCATCAAGGTCATAAGCAAAAATGGGAAGATATTAACTTCCTTTAGCAGAGATATAAATGCAATACTGTACCAGAATGCAAAATGATCCTTGAAGTTAGTTGATAACATGACACTGATTTCCTTTATTAAAAATCAAGTCAATACATTCAACATCAACAGCCAACAACCTTGAGGAGCAAAGAAGCTGAAAAAATCATGGTCTTAAGTAGTTAAAATGACAAAGAGAAAGCTGAGTTTCCAATGGCACTACTGGAGATGCACGGCACTTTCTATTCTGCACAACCGAGCTCTCAGTATGACATGTTATTGTCCAATTCTCAGACACATGAAAAGTGAGATGAGAACCAATAACATGTGAAAACTTAGAAAGAAAAAACACATATCAGTTTTCTATCTTTTATGATTTATGGTGACAATTTATATATTTATTCCTATACGATCTTTAAAAAAATGATAAGAAAACACAGACATTTCAATTACTCCATGAATTCCCAGAATTATTATTCGACAGTTCACTATCTCCTCAGACACTGATAGTTTCGGCTTCAATATGTTTTATCCTTTTCCCCTTTTTGCCTAAAAGAAGGAAGCAGCTTCAGTTTATCTACTTCTTCGGCGAGAAAGTTCGATTGACTACCGCCTCCCCGTCATCTCTCACTCTCCCGAGTAACACAAAAAGAAATAAGGGATAAACTTTAATATTAGCATGCTCCAATACACTTCCTCCCAGTTTTCACCTATCTTGCTGCAACTCAGAAGTCTGGGACGGTACACAAAAGGCGCAAGCTTTCTGGAGGATTAGAGTAGGAATCATCCGATCAGACACCAAATCTCAAATCTTGGTACTCAGACTTACACCATCCGAACTCTAACCAATCCATTCGTGAAAGAAACAAAGGCAATATAAGGAGGATCACTACGACCACCAGATCGAAGACAAGAAACAAGATCGAGATAAAAATACCACCTTGAAGAAGGGTAGGGTCTCGGGATTTGAGCGGATAGGGCTCGCTCGTGCAGGATCGACTGTTGTGGAGAGGCTACCAGCGAGCCGTCGAAATGGCGGCTGATGAGGTTTTATGGGAGGCTTTCGCTTGTGGAGGTCCGGAACGATCTCCGCCGTTGGATTCAATGACGCCGAACTATCTGGAAGTCGATGGAACCTGTGATGTTTTATGGGGCTATTTACATAACAGTCCAAAGTCTTTACCGTAATGACTAATACCTCCTTATTCTATTGTTAGTCTTCCTAATCCAACATTCACTCTAACCATGACGGGTAATGGAGTCAACCCGAACCCGATCCATTCGGTGCCAGGTAACCCGAATCCGATTTAATTCGGCCCGGTTCGGATCCAGACACCGCCCCTGCTTCGGGTCTTCTTCCTCGGCGCGTGCGATTCGATCTCACCATCTCCGACGACGACGGTCGCCTCTCCAAATCCGTTCCATCCGCGGAGCCGACGCTCGGTCCTTCGACGCCGCCGCTCGCTTTGATTGATGTCGTTAGAGAGGGTGAGAGGGATTAAATTGGTCCGAGGGATATATATGTAATTTTGTTCAAAGATCTTATCTTGCCTTCTCGCACGAACAGATCGAATGAAGCCTCTTCCGTTGCCACATCCCCATCAACCCTAGAATTCGAAATCCTCCATTTCTCGTGTGAAGTGATTCAACTCTTCGTTTCCGCGCCCGTTTCTGCTAGTGATAATCTCGAAAGGGGCCTTTGTTTCTTGCGCCAATGGACGGTCGTGGCGATCCGCCGATGAGTTCTCGGCATTCAAATCTTAAGAAGTCCTTTAAGCTCGGCATTCGTTCTCTTCTCACGGCCTTCTCCAAAGAGGTGATCTTTGATGTGTTCTTCTATAATTTCTCTCTGATTATTCATGAAGCTTCGGTATATGCTTCTTCGCAAAAGACGTGTGTTCAAAATATCAGCTTTGTGAAATATAGAAGATGAAATTTTGAGTTTGCTAGCTAGAGTTTGGCTTCTAGATGTAATTTTGTATTGCCTCTGCTAATAAACTATTCAATACCTGCATTTTTTTTAATTATCCGCTGTAGAAAATAGTTGACGTTTGTAGAAGAACCGACCCAAAGTTTATTTAATGCAAAGAGAGCCTTGGTATGTATACAACTAGAAGTTGTTGTTCTTTAGAAGTTGACTGAATAATCCTTCATGAATAGCCCAGATCTTCGAGTGGCTTGATAGAAATGGCTGGCGATATCTAGATGAAATTAGTGGCAATATGCAGCCTTTAAAGGAATGAATTGGGTAGGTGTAACATCGTGATTAAACGGATGTACCAACCATATAGCACATATAACCTGCTGTTATTCAGGCACCTTAGAAGATGTTGAAATTTCAGTCACTTCTTGCTCAAATTGGAACACATTGATGAACCTGTTATCTTTGTCATGTATTTAAATCCCTAGAATGACTTGATAGGTTGTTATTACATGATATCATGACCTACTGAATTATATGTTCTTACATTTTGTTCCTTTTATAGTTGATCTAACTTTATATGAATCACTGTAAGAAGAAATAAGAGGGTTATTTAGTTGTAAATGAATCTATCTACTAACGGTCTCTGGTTATTTGTTTGCATTTATGATCTTTTGGCATATACTCCTCTTTTGTAGTTTTAGTTCTGAGCGGTTCTAATCATGTATTAAGACTTTGGTAACTATGGAAATTATTATTTGTTTAACATGTGTCTTTAGGATGTGGAGAAAGCATTTCCAACAATTACCAATTCTGAGAGAGAAAGCCTTTATCTCATGTTTGTACAGGTAAATTTTTTAAAATGTGTTTTATAAATTGCTTAATGATTGGTGAGTCTTTGCATCTAAGTGATGCCATATGTCATATCTGATCTTTTGCTAGAGATAACAGCAAGATGCTGTAAATTGTGGTTACTTTAAAATAATATTTTAGGTATAAAGTTGATATGACAGAGTAACACTTGTTGGATGTTTGGCTGTTGAATGCCGACGTACTTTACATGTTTGATTAGTAGAGGCTGAGATCTTGATAGTATATCTTGTATGTATTCAGAGAAGGATTTGCATTTTTTTCAGTGTATCTGTACTTTTTTACTTGACTGCTGTGAAGATAATATTTACGCTTTTTCTCTTTGCTTTTCCAGGTGCTTAAGTCATTACATGAGAATATAGAGGTATGAAAATTTTATTCTGGACATATATTAGTTACTTGTTTAATTTGATGGCAACACGTGGTCCATAGTTCATACTAAGCTATCCAATGACAGTGTATATAGGATTGGATTATGAAAATATGATGTTCTTGGCTTTGTATCCTCATGAGGAATTGACATCCAATGGACAATCTTCTTTGTCTAACTAGTTGATTGGCACATTGTTAAGTTAGGTATAGAGTTCACTGTACATTTGAGATCTATTTTTAACCTGTTATTTTTTATTGATCATGAGTATGTTGTAGATTTGGTTCCTGCAACTTATGTCTCATGCTCATCAACATTGCAATTTTCTGATGCCCTTTCCATTAATGGTAGGATGAAAATATCCAGTGTCATTTTGTATGATGATATCTAGCCATATATCTAGTTCGACAACTTGAATATGGATAAGTTACCTTTGTTATCACAAACTCTTCTAGAATGAGATGAATTTATTTCACCTAATTGTATATAACAATAATAACAAAATCAAAAAGTACCAACTATCATGGATCATTTTTCACCATTGAGCTCTGTGATTTCATATAATTATATAAAGGTTTGTAATTTAGAAATTTTAATTTTTTTTATTTAACTAATAGATACGTTTATTAACGTTGTAAACATACCAACAAAGCTCCTTTTTTCTTCTTCTTTTTTTTTCACTTGTGCAGGAGGAGTTCGAATCTATATGTCAAGAGACAGAGGTATGCATATAACATACAAATTTTCTGATAAAGGCAGAGAGTTTGTTTCCAAGATATGGCCAACGAGTTTGCTCCTAGAATCCATATTTGTAGTTTCCACACTTGTGGTAATTTGCCTGTAAATTTTAATGAAGCATGTGAGTGATGCCATGTCAATCTTGTCAATGTAGAGAAATGAGGTAAACTAAGGGAAAAGGGATGAACAATAAAGAAGTTACAATGGTAAGCCCTAAGCTCCTACATGAAGACCTGTTGGCATATATTAAGTCGATCTACGTGCCAAAAGTGATCTCATCGAGCAGAAAAAGGCTCAATGAAGCATCATAACAAGTTGTTTTATCTTGCAAAGGGCCATTGGATAGCCTTAAGTAGCTGATAGACCGTCCAACAATTTTATGACCTCCTACATTTGCAAGTGTTTAAGCCCATTTGATAGATCCAGTATACAATAAATCTGATTTCTTTGTTAATATCACTTGCTTTGTGTCGCAACATTGTTTGTTACTATGTTGTGTACTTCTTTGCTCGTGTGGTATCCTTTTGTACTTCTCTAGCTCTTGCATTTTCTAGATGAAATGAGTTTGGTCACAATGTGTGGTGGATTGATGTCACTTCCACTGGGTTGCCATGTTGTTTGTACATTATTTATACTTCTTTTTCTCCTATAGGATCTTCTTGTTCTTTTTTTCTCTTTCATTTTCTTTAGAAATGAGTTGGATAGGCTTCTGCCCAACCTTTCCCTTAAGGGGAAAGATACAACTCTATTAACTTTTGTCCTTCACCTTCGAAATATCATCTTAATAGCATTTGCCTTTGCAACGAGCTTGAAGAGACCTTGATGCATCTAAATGTCACTAATTTATTCTCCTAATTCCATATTTTCTTACAATTATGAATTGATCTGGTAAGTGCGATTTTAAGTCAATGATGAAGTTTATCTTGTTACTTTTGATTTAATATGAAAACTTACAGAAGTTAAATTACTCATAACAGGTAGGTAAGACTCTTGATATAATAGAGCAACTTGTGGAAGAGCATAACCTTGATGTCCTTGCTGCAGATAAGTAAGTAACAAGGTCAGAAGATTTCATGATTTTCCTAATGAATGAACAATCTGCATACTGCATCAAGTTAAACGATTGGAGAGAATGGACTTCATCTGCTACAAGGAGCTTCCACAATTTTTTGATGTTCTGAACTCATTATAGGTTTATAGACTGTGTTGTTGTTTATGAAAAATTTTGTTTATACTTGATTGGTCTGTTCTAGAGTCCCTATTTTTAGATGACTTTATGCTTGCCATGTCTATATCTTGAAATTTTTGCATATCTAGAACATTCAAATATATGATAAAGATGCAAATTCACATATATTGCTATCTTTTCTGCTTTGCTAGTTTTGTTGATAATGAATGTCTCTGAATCAGGACAGACATAGGAGGCATCACAGAGAAGATATTAAAAGCAAAGAAGGATGAAATCCAAGACTTGACGAGTCTGTTGCAGAAGGTAGATTAAATTAAAAAACTTGATCTTCCTTTCAGGATTATTTCTAGTACATTTGATGAAGTTGGTATGTTTGATGGTATACAATTGAATCAGTATATATATTACATATGACTAAAATAAGTATTGACTCTCTGATATTTTTTCCATAGTGAATAAATAGACATTTAGGAATGAGCGCACTATCTTAAGAATTTGAATTACACCATGCCTGACATTTGCACAGAAATACAAATTGAAGAAACATCAAAAATAGGAGAGATATGCTAGTATTTGTTGATGTTATGTAGATAGCCAGTGGTAGTGGAAGTAGCTGGTTCAAGAATGGCCAAGTATTAGCTCTTTTTTATCTTCAAATACAAAAGAATAATCAGGCATACTCATATAGGTTTACTTGATTGAACATGACTTGGACACATGATGTTTTTGTCTAGTGACAAACAGATTTTGAGAGAGAACCTCCAAAAGAAGCTACATGGATTCTTCCCAACCCAAGATCATGTTAGTGAATTTATCATTGTTTATGCCATAGTTCGCTGTGTCAATTGACTTCAGCATGTATCCACTCAATTCTCATTACTGTCAACCGACGTCACTCAGTCTCCAGCCTATTTCACAACTTCATTACCAGAAATCGGTTGAAATTAGTCATAGTTGATTAATCATGACTGTTGTATGCTGGTACAATTCTAGTGGATTGTCAACCATAAAATAAATAAAAGAAGATGAGGAATGGAAGGAGGCCAATGGCTGCCACAGGTGGCAACCAGAGGTTGAGGGCAGGAAAGTAGAGGATTGCAGAGGGAAAAACCAGGCATTTACTGTCACTTTCACATGTATTGCTTCTAGTTTTGCCTATTCCATAGATGTTTGATCAGGTGAAATACATCAGTTAGTAAAGCTGGTTGTGGAAGCCAATAAAGCAACAACATTATGGATTATTTTTGAATCATTGATTATTGAATAAAATACTTAAGCATGTGTCCATCATATTGTAATGCATCTGTGTAGACAATTTTAGAAGAATGCTGCTTTTATAACTACGAATTCTGTTGTATGTTATACTTTGAAACCTACCATGGGGAAACTACGGCTTGGGATCCTGAGCTGTAAAATGGTCTAGGCTGTAAATTGCTAAGGTTCTTACTTGAGCTTGATTGGAGCTGTAGCAAGCCGTACGTGACATAGCTGATTCTGATACTGAAGTGGACAACCTTATCGTGTGTGTGGTAGTGTCTCTGCATGCAAGGAAGGCTGCATGCTTCTGATCCTTTCAGATTCTGCAATGGAAGTAGGTTCATACACTATGCTTGCTCTTACAGCTTAAACCTATTGGCAGTTGTGTTCTGTTAGCTATTTCTTTTTTGCCTTAAAGTGAATACTACTTCCTTTTAGCAGATCATGCTATTTCCCTTTTTCTAAATTTATATCGAGGTTTCTCAAGAATCATTCTTTGCTTAGATTGCACCCATTAGGTAGGTCTCTTCACTGCCATATGCTGTTTTTAGTTTTTGGTCAAGTGCTCAACATAGGTTTTGGGAAATGACTTTAGTTTGGTTGATGTTTGTTAGGTTCTTGAAATCTCTGGTTTTCTTGAGCTGTGCTTTATAGCTGACCAGTGTTGACGTGAAAGGGCAGGGGTGATGATGATGAGTCTTTCTTACTACTTGCTGTTTTTCATTCAGGTTGATGATTACAACAATGTTATGAAAGCTCGCATTGAGTCGCTTAAGACCAGTCAGGATCTCTCCACTGCAGACATTGTGGAGCAGGTATGGATGGCTGCAAGTTGAATGCCTTCTTGTAATAACTTGTGTTGTGCTTCTCAGCATCTTGTTGCTATTTTGGTTTTCAATTTGCAGTTGAGAAGCTGGAATGGCAACTTTGAAAAGTACCATGGCAGCTTGAACGGGTGAAGCCAGTGTTTGGTGAAGAATCCCACATGTCAAAGCTTAAGCTATGAGAGAATCTTTCCAATTGTTCATCTCAGTTCCAGTGAAGGAAGATTGAGCTTAAGATTTGCTCCTTTGTTTCACTGTCACTGATCAAGAAACAAGATTTAACTAACCTCTACGGAATCTTTGACTACATTTTCTATTGCAATTATAGATAAGGGCATCATCCTTACAGTTTGCAGTTGCATCTTTTTCATGAATGATTATGATGCTACATTGGACTGCTGCCTTGACAGATATTTGCTTCTACTTGTTTGCTCAATCAACTACTGTACATTTGATGAATAGGTGTTTGCTTAGATCAACCAAGATGTTTTCCTCGATCAACAGTTGTATTGTAAGTGTATTTCAGATAAGTGGAACTTGAACAAAGATCTGTCATGCATAACTGTGTAGGGGGTTTAAACTTTTCCTTTAAGCTTGAAATCCAAGACATGAACAAGGGAAGGAGGTGTGACATAAATCCATATATGGTTTATTCAGGAAATGTTTATTACAATTGTTCATTCTTTGCACATTCATGTTCTTTGGCAAATTTTTCTTCCTAGGATTTTCTGCAGTTAATACAAGTACACTGATTCAGTTTATATTAGATCCAGATATCTGAATACCTTCTTGGTGTATTATAATGATGGATCAGGCACAACTGATCCAAATTACCTGAATGCATTAATTTTTCTTATTATTCTTTATGATCTTTGCTTTCAGTTGTTTCCTATCCTAGAGAAGTCATTATCTGGTTTGACTTGTTTTGTTAGCATATAACATTCATGCAATTTTCACATCCACATGTTCAGTACATGCAATTCCAAACTGGTGTGACTTTGTGAAGAAAATAGTGTGTTAATTTGTCTCACCAAATTTAAAATAAAAAAGTGACACACCTTATTTTTTTAGTTTGATTTTAAAAATAATAAATATTGTATCCTACCATGATATATGAAACAAATTATTCAAAAAAATATTTTATTTTTATGATTTTTGATATTATTTGATTAATTTTTATATTAATTTTTAATTTAGAAAAATTAAATTAAGAGAATATTGAGAATCTATGGATTTCATACTTTCAATGAGGATTCCTTATCCTCACCCTTGGGATGGGAATAGGGATGGTGCTCCCATTTTGTCCCATTGACATCCAACTAATGAATTCGAAAAAAATTAAATAATTAAGAATATCTCGTGTGTAAAGTAGTTTACACGATTCACTTATAATGAGTTTCGATAATCTTCGTGAGTAAATGATAATTAATTTATGAAATTAGTTTTACAATATGAAGTGTTGTTCCGATGTGAAGATAGAGTTGATTGTGTAAATTGTTTGTAAGTAATTTATAATTATCCCTTGATCCCAATATGTTCAAGGGATAATTATAAATTACTTAGATCTCCTTAGTATTATAATCATTGGATTTAAAAAATTTATATTGGAATCTTCATATTTATAAAAATAAAATATATAAGTTTATTTATCTCATTGGTTTTACCGATGGAAACATGAAAATAATAGATAAAAAATAATTTCAGTATTCTAGTTAGTGATGATGGACCACGTCGATGGTGGTAAATGACGATGCTGTTGGGGACGTGGGTAGTTGTTATGAATGAAGAAAATGATAATGAGAGATAAGGGGTCATTTTACATCTGCATTGACATCGATATAATTATCAAGTGGCCCTTTCATTACTTTGCATCTACATTGGAATCGTCACAGTTACCAAGTGATATTTTCACTATTCTGCATTTGCATCGACATCAACTCAATTTCTGAGGGACGAAAGGGTAATCGATGTAAATACTAAACAACTCTTTCACCGTTAGATAATTGTATTAATATTAACGCATATGCAGAGCGATTCTCATCTTTCATTATTGCTCTCCTCATCCACATAACTACTCGTGGCTCCCAGCAACGTCATCGTTTGCCACTATTAACGTTATTTGTTACCATCAAATAGAACATTGAAATTATTATTTTACCTATTTTTTACTGATAAAATTGACAGTACCATAACAAATGAATATAGATATTTTATTTTTTATAGAGATTATAATATAAATTTTTTGAACCTAAAGATTATGATGTTAAGAAGATCTAACCGCGTAATATGTATCAGCCCTTATTGTTAATATGTCACATCCCTTATTAGGAATGATATCAGATTAAATATCTATTAATTTCACATCGCTCAATTTATATTCAATGTAACTAGTTGTTCATGTTTTAAATGAACTTGGATTCTTATTTATTTATACGAACATGGCTCGGATTCGATCAAAGGACATAAATCTGATTCAGACAAATTAGATAAACATAATATCCGACAATATCAACTATGATATTTGTTAGTGTAAATAACTTTTTAGCCGTGACCTCGGGGCTGATGCGGCTTGGTTCGGGTCCGGATGACGGGTCGCCGGTTCCTTCGCGAGGGGGTTCCTTGCCTACGTGCCCGGAGAGAAGCGCCTCGCCTTCGTTCCTGCACACAGGTCGGGATGAGAGAACTCGACTCGACCCCTCCGACGATCGAGTCAGTCAGCAATCGTAGTGGGGTTGTTTTCTCCCTCATTTCCCTCTTCGTTCAGAATGTAAAGGTATTTATAAGGGGGGTTCGGTGTTACCTGATGCGTTTGCCCGTAAGGGGTAAGATCGTACCTTCTGATGGCATCTGACATTGCAATCGGCGTAGCGTGTGGAACCGAACCCGAGCGATCGTTAATGGGCCTCGGTTGGCGCTTTGACCTGTGTTAGTCACGCGGTGTCGGACTAACAGGGGAGCGGGACGTCAGCGGGTGTCATGCAAGTCTTATCGTAATTATTACCCTCATCAATATTATTTTATTCAAAATTGATTCTGACTCAAATACCTTTTTTTAAAATCTAATTTTAATTTTTATTCCATCAGAGGATATCTAAACCCAAGTCAAACCGGAAAAAGATCACAGTTGTAAGTTGCAGTCGTTTCCCATTAAAAGAAAGGATAAAAAGGACACCTCAAAATAAGGGATGAATTAAGACAAAGGTCAAGTCCGTTCGATCAACTACGATGTCGGCCCACGAATCCAGGCCCCCATCTCTTAGATTCGGCCGTCTCCGTCCCTTATCCACCCGATCAACTCCCTGCCGTTCGATCGAGTGGTCGGTGATCGTACGGCGATGGCACGTTCCCTCCTGTCCCCGCGCCCGATCGCCATAAAATTGAACTCCCGCCTTGGCCTCTGCCATGCCTGTCTTGGCCGACCGGCTTACGCAAATTATCATTTTTCTCATTGGTTCGGAGACGATAACGTTACACGGGACCCATCTATCGACCAATAATAATACGATTTGTTTTGGTGGGTGCCTGGTGTAAGACACGAGAGCCGACTCACTGGCCGGGGCCCCGGTTCTCCTCTTCGTCACTTTATCCCTCGAGAAACCCTAATTCCACATTTTATCCGCCGCTGTCTCCGATTCCCAGGGCTTTGGGGATCAATCGCCCATGGAGGGCGATGGCTCCCCACGCAGGTCTCCAGGAATGCTGGCGCCTCCACAGCCCGATCAGGATGCCGTCGAGAACGGACTCGCTTACTCGTCGCCAACGTCGCCCAGACCGTCGGAGCCGCCGCCGCCGTTGGACTCTTTGACGGGCGAAGGTTGTTTTTCTTCCCAGAACGTTGAGGCGAATAGCGTGCGGCAGTCACCGAGGATGATGAGATTCCCCGGCCCTGGCTCGGACTACCCCATTTTTGAGGCTTCATCTGCTAATCAAGATGCCGCCAAAAATGGCTGCATTGGTTCATCACCAATGAAGCTTGGATCGCCAAAGCCATCGGTATATTCTTTGAAGCGCAATTCTTGTTCGTTTGGACAAAAGGCCAAGAAGAATGACCTGTGGCGGTTACTGAGGGCCTTGATATCAACCAGGACCCTATCGGGTTCCACTCTGGTTAGTAATGATGGTTCCAATATTGTGGCTAAAAATGGTGGCTTGCGCCGCTCCGCAAGGATATCCAGAGCTGAAAATTCTAGCTCAAACTTTACAGCGAATAACGACGACTGCATGACCACTCATGAAAAGTTGTTGGAGAAAGGCAATTTAAGGCGCTCGCCAAGAATCAATATGGTTAGTAATGATGTTTCCACTCTGGTTAGTAATGATGGTTCCAAGGTTGTCGCTAAAAATGGTGGCTTGCGCCGATCGGCGAGAATATCCAGAACTGAGAATTCTAGCTCAAACGTTATAGTGAGTGACGGTGATTGCATGACCGCTCCTCGTGTCAAGTTGTTGGAGAAAGGAAATTTAAGGTGCTCACCAAGAATCAATATGAGATCCTTCAGTGAGAGTGGGAAATCCAATGATTTGAATGGTGATACACATCCAAAGAAGCTTGAGAGCAGGAAATCACCTGGGATGAAAGATTCACGGCCTCCTAAGAAGCTGAAGCTCTCTTCAAATGAAGTATTAGTACATCCTATTAACCCGAATGTCACTTCTGAATCAAGTAAGCTGTGCAACAATAATAATGCATGCTTCTTTGTTGGCGAGACTGTGCCGGAGGAGGTGGCAAGGCAGAGGTGGCCCCACCGCTTTGGTTGGAAGGTAATCATACTATGTAGTGGTATTTTTCCAAATAGGATCTCATGCTAGATTTTGCAATTTTGTGACTAAATGCAGCCTTTTAGAGTTTCTTAAAGGATGCTGATGTTAATATTAATGTGTTGGTCACATTTGATGTTTTAAAGATGACTTATTTAAAGTGAGTAGAAACTGTAAAGTAGATTTTTTAAATTGGAAATTATGAGACAACTAGCATAACCTCTCTCTATTTATTTCTTATTATGGCACATTTGTCTGCTCTAGAGATGCGTCTTATATTGTCCAGGGCATGATGGTGTTTCCAAATGCTTCATTTAAAGACTTTCCAGGCAGGTTATCTTGGCAAAACTTTGTTGTCATGTGTTTATGGAAAATTCTAATCCTTTACAGCAAAGATAAGAAAGGTGTCACTCTGCCTAGCTGCCTGGGGTAAAACTCTCAGTTTTTGGGGCTTTCCGACTAAGTTTTATCATCCTTAACTTTTCCTACCTTTTCAGGGTGTATAATATGTGACTGTGTTCTCTTATACCCAGTGTCTTTATGCCTGTTCACTAGGCAAGGAGTGTCAAACTTAAAAAGAAGGTTACTTATGTATACTTGCTTTTGATTCAGGTGTACCTAGTTTATTCCAAGTATCTCAGCCTTCAAGTTCAGTTGTATAACCTTAATGGAATAGTAAGTAGCACCTAATTTATGATTATGCAGCAGAATGAAAATCAAAGACTGATAAAGGAAATATGGCGGAAAGTGTCAAGCTGCTGACCTGGACAGAAAATACGTTTTAAAAAAGAATGAGTTCTGTTGGTTTACTTTTTTTTTTTTTTACCATCGTTCAGGCCCGTGCTTCAGGATGCTGGTAATCCGTTGGAAATTTTGGGGATTGAAGGGTTCGCTTTCGTCTGGTTTGTATCAGATTTGGAGTGATGATCTGGTGCTCCATCTTCAGCCACTTTGCCTATGCTGTTAGACTCTCCATCTATGGTGGTCAAGGCACTTTCATTGCTTGGATGGAACATTTGTCTGTGGAAATTGTTTCCCGCATCTTTGCTCATCTGTAGCTGCACCTTATGGACTTGTTGCTAAGCCATGACCTCTAAATGTACTTGCTTTATAGGCTAAATAATTTCTACTTTTAATGTTTCATATTTCAAATATTTTTTAAAATCTATATGTTTTTGGCATTACAATCTATTGTCCCTAAAATGATCTATATTGGTTTCTCTAATTTATGGACTGCTAATTTATCTTTTGATGTCTTTATTTTGTAGGATAAAGGGGGAAATAGAAAGAGCAGTACCTCCAAGTAAGCTACAGCTTCTAAACATACTACAGATACTTATGTGGAATGACTATTTAACCTTTATTTTCTTCAACATTTCTGACGTGTTGATGTTATATTTTGTGATATAGCATTGATGATGAAGATGAAATCATCCTAGATGTTAAATGCCACTACCAAAAAGCTAGCATATGCGGATGCCTATTCGACATTGGAGATTGTGCATATGTAAAGGTGAGCTATCCTTGTGTGATTGTCAAGACCTGTCATTTAGCTGGACCTGTTTTCCATTGTTTCTACATTGTTTTGTTCTTAAGAATTAAAGATAGAAAAATTTCATTTTTAGTTTTTGTTATGAGAAAAAAACATTTTGCATTCTGGGCCTCAAATCTTGGTCCGGTGCTGCTTTTGTTAATCTTTCATGCATCGGGCAGTATATGGACTCATATAACTCTATACCAACCAAAAAAAGAATGAGTAATACTGGCCAGTATCAGATCATATAGCCTGATATATGTCCTTTGTTGAACTTGTAAATATAGGTCAGTATGCATTGTACTGACTGGTATTTGTGACCTTGATGTTGTGTCTATTGCTCGACTTGTTGGATGATTGATAATTTCATTAATTATGGGCACTATGAAGATCACCATACTTTTGAATAGCGATGGCTCGTGTATGGGAACAAAGGATGGTCATGTGGCTAAACAGAATTGAAAGCTGTTTGTTTTAAACTAAATGAAGTAAGAATTTTCTACTTCCAAAAAATTTAGAGATAGTAAAAATGATTCTGAAAAACAAAAAAATAGAATGAAATTATGAAAATTCCTCTTTAATCAGTTTCTAATTTCTAATTCTATAAAAAAAAGAAACTATAACTCTGGTTGAGCCTCCTTATTATCTTTAATGATTGCATATTTTGCTTCATAAGTGCATGCCAGAAGCCAGACGGAGAAGTAAAACTTTGATTTCTGGTTTTGCCACTGAATAGTTTGGTCATGCTTTTCATTTTTTCTTGTCAATTTTTACAAGAGTAAGTAAACCATGATCAGAAAAGGTGAATAGTTAGTTTTTATTGGTATTGTTAGCAAATCTTAATCTATACATAGGGTTTTAAATGGGTAGCGCATACACACACATGTGTGTGTTTTATCCCTTTTAAAGGAAAAGCTGAAAGGAATTCCCACCAGTATTGTTTCAAAAGTTTGAACTGAACATATGAAAATAAGAAAAGGTAATTAGATGCAGAGATAAAAACAAGAAAAGGATGAAGAATAAAAAACAAACAAGATAGGAAACAGAAGAATAGAGGATAAGATAGACAACAAAAATCTTCAGTCAGTCTTCTTTATAACAAAATTGCCCCATAGTTGCATCCCTTTACTGCATTTCTGAATAATCTTTGATTGTTTGCTTCAAAACATGCCAGCACGCACACAGTAACATAAACACTAACTAAGTCCTCAATGCAAATCTAGATTTCTATCATTCTTGTCGTTCTTAAGCAAGAATTCATAAATTTTCATTATAGTGAAAGTGTTTGTGCCTAAGAGCCAAGGAGAAACTGATTTTTTTAGATTATGGAGTGTCCTTCCCTTAAAACCTAGTGTTGCACTTTGAAAGTTAATGAAGTCAATCTCTGTCTAACTCCTTGTTCAAATTGTCATAAAAGATCATAAAGTGATTTTATTATTTTTCAGTCCATCTCAGGTGATCAAGTTTGATATTTCCACTGGTTGTAACAGGACTTGAATTTTGTGCATATAACCTGCCTCTCTAAATTCATAAAGTTCGTCAATTGAATCAGCTACTACGAATTAATCTTGGTACTGAAGCTATTAACCCACCTTGCTGAGAAGTCATTGAAAGTAATCATAAAAGTTTAAAGATTTCTTTCTTCTAATTGTTCTTTCAAAATTGTAGTAGCGAGCCGTCTCCAAAAATGAAGGTTACAAATAAAATTTGATTCTTGTTTTGGTTTATTCATTTTTTTGGGTCTCCCCTATCTAAGATGGACATGTTAAGCTCCAAAAAGCCTTAGCACCTTGATGTGCCTTTAATTGAGCCTTTGATAATTATGCATGAATAATCTTTTCTTTCTGTAGTATTCCTTGTTTTTCTACTTAAGTTTCCAATAACAAGGATGGACAAGTTTTGGGAAAAGGATTTTCATCATGCCTCAAAATCATAGATGAGACTATTCATCTAAGGATTTTCTGTAGTATTCCTATTGTTTCGCTTCTTTCATGCTATCTTGCTTCCATTTTGAACAGCCTAAAATTAAATGGACATTATTAATTTAACATTACAATTATTGGAGTTCGTTATTATGATAATGGACCTTCATTGCAATCTCTATTCTCACATAAGAATAAGGCCTTCAGGTTACATCAAGTAATATCATAGCAGAGAACTATGGATTATCACAAGTTGGTTCAAGTTTAAAAGCACCAATGATATGCATGTTCAGCCATCAAAGAACTTAAAGCCTTCCATATGCCCTTGATCCTTCACTCTTAAGAAAACTATTTTATATGCTATCATTCTCTTTGTAATCTCAATTTTTTTGCTGTTCTTTGACCTTGTCACTACCATCACATAGATTTCCATTGAAATTGCATTCCAGGATGCATAGAATTTATAAATGACCGAGCATCACTTGACTTCATGTACGTTCATGACTATCTGCTTCTGAAGTGAAAAATAAAATATATAGATGAACTTTCTGTCCAAGTTTTCTCCAAGATGAACAGCTCTTGCATCCCAATTTCTTATTTCAATTTGGTCTATATCAAGAATTAGCTACTCAAATTCTTTGGAGCTGTACTCCTTTCTTATGCAAAAAACATGCATGTAAAATTTGTTATGTTATCTTCCAGATAATTCATGTATATCTGTACATATATATACATCAATAAAATACTTTTTTCAGCTGCCTACCTCCTTACCTGCCTAACTACCTTGAGATGCAACAAGTTCCCAGTATCCTGCATGTTAGGCGGGGAACTTATCAACAAGTAGAAAAACTATTGTCCTATCTATAGAAGAGATATAGAGAGTAGAGAGGCTTTCACCTTCAGAACCAATTCTTACTAAATTTAGCTACAATTAAACTATCTAATGAGTTTCTACTGTCTTATAGGGTCCAAAACACAAGCCCAATTATATTGGCAGGATCTTGGAATTTTTTGAAACAAAAAAAGGGGACTACTACTGTAGAGTGCAATGGTTCTTTCGAGCTGAAGATACTGTAAGATGTTTTTACTTTTTAATTTCTGTTTGGAATCCTATTTCCTTCATCCTGATCCTTTTCCTTTTATTTCCCATACAAATATAAAAATTATAGAACTAAAACAGACGGATTAATGTTGCATAATCATTTCTTAATGTCTCCTACCATTCATTATAGGTTTTGAAAGAACAAGCAGCACTCCATGATAGAAAGCGACTTTTCTACTCTGACCTAAAGAATGACAACTTATTAGATTGCCTTGTTTCAAAAGTTCGGATTGCAGAAGTTCCTGCCAGTGTACGTGACAATTGTGCTTTTCGTCTTTTATTTGAATTGAAGTATTTTTATCCTATTAAGCGTTACGCTTTCTACTATTCAATCTGACTTGCCCTTCTTCTCCTGTTTCTTTACTGTTTGATTTATTTGCTTTAGACCAAAAACTTGTTTCTTTGCAGGAATGCTTGGAGTCTAAATCTATTCCTTCATGTTATTTTTATTGTGACATGAAATACTCCGTGGAATATTCTTCATTCTATAATATGCAGTGCAGTAAGTTGTATTTCTTGTCTAAATTGATTCTTATATTATAGTGAATTCAGATTTCTTGCTTCCGATACTCTTGCTTCCATATTTTCACTTGTCATTTGTGTGCACATAACATGTGTATATTTTGTAGATGCTAGAGATAATGTAGTTCATGAAAAAGAGTAGAAATCAACTATGCAACTATTGATCTTGTTCTGCACTTTCTAGTTTCTTGAGATTGTGTACATGCTTTTCTAGCTATTTAGTAATTAAGAAGGCATGACATGTTAAATTATAAGCTATTTAAGTTATAGATACAGATAAATTCCAAATCATATGACTTTTAAATGATTTTGATGTGGTTCTTTGTGCTAAAAAGCCACTGACCCACTTACCACAGCTCTTTTTTTGTCATTATCTATGTACATATGCTTGTTATGGGAAACATTAAATTTAGTATCATGTAAAGATATATATGTAACTGTAAAACTAAACAAGAAAGTATATTTTCTAGTATATATGTATGAACATTTCCAGAACAGTTGAAATATGATTTGTTACTGGACTTAAAAACAAGATTTTCCAGGCTCTTCTCATCCTGGTCTATTTGGATGATATAATAACTTCATTGAAAGCATAGGTTTAAGAAATCCTAAACAATTTAATACTATTGTAACGTGATAATTTAGGGCTAATTACAACATGCTATCATTTTTGTGATCTCAGTTGGTACAAGTCGGTATATTGCGCTATGTATTGGTACTGCACCAATTTAACAATTTGTCAAAACCAATATTTGAGAAAATTGAAAACCATGGTTAGATGTAGGATGGGGCTGAATTAATGATCCCATGAAGAATTACTGGAATGCTATTAAAGTTGGAAAATACGAGAAACAGTTGGTCAGTCTCAAGATTCTGATCAATTTTTGTTAGCCAATTTAGTAAACTGGACTTCAGATTAAGGATTTAACTACTGGTTCAATATTGGTTTTGGTAAGTAATTAGACAAATGAGGTATTTGTCTACTGTGCAGTATACTGACCTATATTTCTCGATATCACTAAATAAAATTAAATGAATGTACTTGGCCAAACCAGTAAATACTAGTCATGTACCTGTGTGGTTGCCCTAGACCTTTTCTGGCAATGCCACAGGTTTCAGATGGAATAAGAGGGTATGCTTAGCGACATCTGCAATCATGCCCTTTGAACTTCCTAGAGTCCAACTACTGTTCTAACCAATTCAATCTTAGTCCTCAATTTACTGATGTCGCAGAATCTAGGTCAGTCATTGGGTGTTATCATCTGTAGTTTGAGATGGTTGAATTTTTGCATCTGTTAAGGAAATTCTTTCTTGTTCTTCAAATGTTTGATTGACATTGATAAGCCTAATGAGCTTCTTGTGCCTGTTAGTTTCTCATTTATTCCTTGGCACACACTTTTTCCTTCAGATCTATTTCTTCCTCCATTGTTGTTTCACTTTTTAAGTTCATTGACTAATATTATGATGTTTTTATGTTATATGATTTATGTGACCTTGCAGGAAAAGGCAATGTTGACCTTGCATTGGAAAAGACAGAGCTAGGTTTATTAGATCTATATTCTGGCTGTGGTGGGATGTCAACTGGGCTTTGCTTTGGAGCTCATTTCGCTGGTGTAAAACTTGTGTCGGCAAGTTATCTCATAATAACCAACTATTTGCAGATGTGTTAATATTTACTTTTTGGATGCAACTCACAGTCATTCTTGCTGATATACTTTTCTTTTCCTTCATAGAGATGGGCAGTTGACTCCGATGAGGCTGCTTGCGAAAGTTTTAAACTTAATCATAAAGAAACTCAAGTATGCTATTTGATCATTTCATTAATTTTTTTGTCATTGTTCATAAGCGTTTTAATACTTCAATGTTGATATGCTCACTCTGACAGGTTAGAAATGAGTCTGCCGATGATTTCTTTAGCTTATTGAAAGAATGGAGAAAACTCTGCAAAAAATATTGTGTAAATGTTGGTAAACTAGGAGATTCTTGTTCAAAGAACTTTATACTGAAATACTCTAAGAGGATTACTGACTCAAACTTCAAGATCTCAGATGGAGAATACGAAGTACTGAAGATAGTTGATATATGTTATGGAGATCCCACTAGTACAGGAAAATCTGGTTTAAAATTCAAGGTAGATGATCTTATTTGTCCTATAGATTTTATGGCCTTAGTGTGTAATATCTGCTTTAGATTTTATTATCATTGTATTTTATTTTTTTAATTTATTAATTTCTGGACTCTTTATTTTGGTTGATGAATCTTGTTCCAACTCCTTTTCTGTCATGTTCATTACATGAATGGAGAAGGCTTGTTTGTTAAAATAAGAAGTTTGTCATTGATGTAATGAACATAACATTAATGTTATTGTTTTAGAAATAACATGGAGACTGGACTAAAGGGAGAAGTCTTGTCACCCTCCTGGAATGGTTGCTCATCAATTGCATCTAGTGGATCAAGTGCTTATGATGTGCTACCTTTGACCTTATAATGTCTGTATGAAAACTGACTTCCTAGTTCCTACATTATGCCCCATTGACAACCGATCTCTTATGGCACACCCCATGTTTCTAACAAAAGATATTTGAGCCTGGAATTAGTGTACTTATCTGGATACTCTCTGGTAGGCTCGTATGATTTGATTTCAGTGGCACAAGAATCCATGTCTCAGTCCTCTGTAATCTATGTTCTGTTCACATAAACCTAGGCTTGATCAACTGATCTGGCCTAGGTACACCAAAATCTGGAGTAGATCCATGAAAATCTATGCTTTATCTGCCCTAGAAGTAGGATTAGTTTATTGATTGAAGGTGATGCTAAGTAAATTTTTTAATGAAAATCATACCTCATATGTGGATGGACCAGAGTGAAAGAGGAGTAGAAGTCGAACCGGTGAGAGGTTATCATGAAGTCTCCTTGTCACATTGCTAGATCTTCAAATCAGAGTGAAAGAAAGAAAGAGGAAGATATCACGGAGGAAAAGCCTTGTTGAAATTTTTTGCCAAGGTTTTTCCACAGTAGCCTTTTATTTGACTGGATGGGCCTTGTACCAGTGTGTAGGCTTATCACCCATGCAAGACCAGTATGCATCAAATAATGGGCAAAGCCATGTATTTGATAGACACTGGGAGGTTAACTCCTGGTGAGATCTGGTCTACTTTTCAGACCAGTCCTGGACTAGCAGTTACAGGTTTGTGTTGGTTGAAAATGTTGGCAAGTGTCTTGCTCAATGGTCTTTATTTGAATGAAGGGTTTTGCACCTGGTGGTTTTACTATGTGGAGTAATTATAAAAACACAGGTTGTATGCTCTGTCAGACCAGAGAGTTTCACTTGATATGGCCTGCGTACTTGACTAGACTGGGGAAAGTAAATACTGTTCATATTGCACCTATCCAATCAGGTATTTTAAATCTTGGAATAAAAGACAGAATAATAGCACCAGACTGATCTTTATTTTAGAAATTGATATCAAGTGTAGAGATTGATGATATTACTGAATTCAAATTTGTAAATATAATTTTATCCTACATGAAAGAACTGCTTTCCTTTTTGAAAGAGACCATACTTTCGAGTTTCGACCCTAGACAGTTCTCTTTTCTTATTCAATTTAGTTTGTTAATCATGTCAATTATAAAGCATTGAGGAAGAGTGCTTTATGAAAGCAAAGAGAACTAAGAAAAGGATTTCCCTTATTATTTTGCCATGAATAAAGCGGCAGTATGCTGCTGTTTATCTTTTGCAAATATTACACTGTTGTTTGCCATGGGTTGCTACAATTCTGTGTTGTGATGGTTGATATTTCATTTGGTGAGAAATGGTGTGTCTGATGATGAAAATTTTGGTTGTAGATAAATTTGACTTTTCTTGTTTACACATTAAGTAAATTGGTTGGCATGGGATATTTGGCAAACTCGTGCATTTGCACCTATATTACTGGGGAGTAGCTCTGTTTAATGTGATTTGTCATGCTATACTGATCATAATGGAGCATGTGAGAATTTTTATGCTGCCTTAAGCATAAGTTAAACCACACTCAAAATAAAAATAATTTTCACTTTGCATTGGAAAATATAACAAGAGGGTAGGTTTTGGTACAATGGTAAGGTTCCTTTATTGTGATTTGGGTGACTAGGGTTCGATTCATGTAAAGAGTCTCTTTAAATATTTAAAGATAAGGCAATGTACATTAATCCTCCCCAGACCTCATATAATGCAAACGTAGCAAGTTAGTGACAATCATATGCAAGGGTTATACAATCTGAATTGCAGTAATATCTAAATATTCACTACAGTTTGTCATACTTGTGATGCTTTTGCTGATTTGCTACAGGATTTGTTTTTCATTCCACTCCTTATCTCCCATGTTAGAGATGAATTTATGTTTTCATTATGCACCACCTGTCTTAACAAATCTGGATGATTTTCCAGAATTTTTTATGTCTATCTTTATGAAAATCTGTTGACCTTGCATTTTCTTACTTTTTATTTACTGAATTACTTAGAAGTTCAACTGAGGTCCTTTTGAATGAACGTTCATCATTCATGTGTGTTCGTCAAACTTACCACTGTTGGACAACTTTAGAACTGGCATATGCTTGTAATGCAGTGTATATTTTCCAGTATCTCTTTTTTTTTTCTATAGTTTTAAGGGACCTTCTGATGAATATGGATAATTTCTGTTGTACCCTGAAATTTCCAGGTACGATGGAAGGGCTATGGTCCTGGTGAGGATACCTGGGAACCAATGGAAAGTTTAAGGTAGGCAAATTGGTGTAAGACATGATACTGTTTACCAGTTTCCTCAATGACTCTTGTCGGAATCTTGTCAGCAATTGTGAAGGACGACTAAGAGAATTTGTGACAGAAGGGTTCAAGTCAAAATTATTACCACTTCCTGTAAGTGATGGTATAATGCTTTAGTACTCTTCTGAATTTGGAGTTATCTAAAACGTAGTTTATGACAAAATTTGTTAGTTGTGCAAGCTGATATTTCAATCACATCTTTCAGGGGGATGTAGATGTGGTGTGTGGAGGCCCTCCATGTCAAGGTATTAGTGGCTATAATAGGTATAGGAATTTTAGTGCACCTTTAGACGATGAAAAAAATCGACAAATAGTAGTTTTCATGGACATTGTACAATATTTGAAGCCTAAATATGTTTTAATGGAAAATGTGGTGGATATCTTGAGCTTTGCTAATGCTACACTTGGACGATATGCTCTAAGTCGTTTAGTTTCTATCAACTACCAAGCTAGACTTGGGATCATGGCTGCTGGTTGTTATGGTGTTCCACAATTTCGTTTGCGTGCCTTTCTATGGGGGTGTCACCCTAATGAGGCAAGTTGTTAATGTTGCTAATTCTTAAGTAATCTAAGCTGCTTCTTTCGATAAGTTTTTCTTTCTCGACTGCAGAAACTGCCTCCATTTCCATTACCAACTCATGAGGTGATTCTGAAGAGAGGTTCCCCAGTGGAATTTGAGGTAAAATTGTAAATAACATTCATGGTTTTTCTGTGTATGTGTGTTACTGTTGCTTATTGAATATTGCTGCACTCTATTTTTTTGTTTGTACTGTTGTTGCATCATTTTGTGTATATATAAATCCTTGTGGATATTTATCCACTTATCCTAATGGGATCTATTGGTCACTGAGCATTTAGATGACTTAATCTGTATTTCTGGTAAGCCAGCTATGCAATGAAATGATCCTGTATTTTCCAGCTCTCGTATATGTTTCACCTTTGCCTATGTCTTACAATTTCTGAATCTGGGAAGAGTCCAAGTAATTAACTACAACAACTTAGCAGCTTGATGGAATGTCAAGGGCCTTCTTTTTCTTCTTCACTATTATTCTAATGGAAACATTTAAGCTCCTAATCATCTACAATGCCTGCATTTGATCAAATAAACTTTCTCACTTCTTTAACCTATAATTAGTGTCATTAGTGACATTAATCTAATATTTCATTTTAGGCTTATTTTGTTCATAAAGGACATTAAACATCCATCGATGGGCAGGATCTGTGATGATCTGATTTAACCAAATTCTGCCCTACCCTTGTGCTAAACCAATGGGTTGTATGACCCAGTTTCATTCTTAAAATAAATGTCTTCAGATAATACTTCAGTTGATCTCCTAAGAAAGAATGCACATGCAACAATTGGAGGTGCGGGGAATAAAAGGAATACAAGAGAAGAGGAGTTGAGATGTTTGTTGATAGATTGTTGCGATATCTAATTTGGAATATAGGAATATTTGCAAATGTTTGTTATCTATCTCGAATAATTGGTTAAGATATTAAAAAACTTTTACTAAATGAAATTTCTCGTCTATCCAACTTAACTATATTCTTAGGTCTATTCCTAGGACTACTAAAGTTATGTCACACATGTAAAGTGCAATCTTAATGTATATCAAAAGAAATGGTTTATCTGAAATAGATGAAAAAAGCCACATTAAACAATAGTCTAACTTCCTTTTTCCGAGGGCCATTATTTCCATTACTCATCTGATTAACTAGCTAATTGATCAGAAGGAAAGTTGACAAAACAATGCAAGGGGTGACCTTATATTGAAAGATGATTTAAAAGAAAATTCTTAATTTGCTGGTGGAACATCTTTCAGCGTGTGGATTAATTTGGAAACTAAAATCATGTTACATTGCTAAAGTATGAGGCAATTTGTTTAGTACTCATTTTATTGAACAATTTTTGCTCTACATTTAGCATCATATTTGTTGGACCTTCCTCTGCTATCTGACAAAGCATGTGATATTTCAATTGCATCCCAGGAATGTCAGTGCGGTCAAATAGACTATCTTCCAAAGTAGCAGACTTTTATTATGTTGGGATATCATTTTCATAGTTTGCAGTGACAATCAAATAAAAGTTATTTGCATTGAAGGCATGAAATTTTGTTTTGTTTTTTTTTGAAATCTGGGTTACAATTGTCCACAATATATCTGAGATTATTATACCATGTTGTTCATTTGATGCATCTACTTGCTCCATAGCAGCATGATGGTAAATCAGTGAGGCTTTTGTCTAGCATCGCATGCCACAATTTCTGATTTGCTTCTGTAACAGTGTCTTTGTTGTTTGTATTTAGTAATAATGTCCTTTGATTTGAAATTGACTTTTATGTTTCTTTTTTGGCTTTTTCTCTGGAATTCTTATATAATTGTTAAGAAAGATTCATTAAGATAAAAAAAGATTGGATCGAATTCTCTAATCTAATACTGTAGTAATATTCCTCAGAAGATTGAGATAAAACAAGAATTTTGTATTTGTATTTGAAATAGAAATGTTATGTTTATTGATTTTACTCAATATACTTCAATTCCATGCACCCTGGCTGTGATCAGCTCGGCCTTCTGGCACTTCATTTGCTAACTGTTTGGTTAAAAAGAACAATATCAACCTAGTGGAATACAAGAAGTTAGAATAATATATTCCCACAGAAGAGAGTTCAAATTTTAGCATAAGGGAAAAAACCAAGTTTTGAAGCTTTTGAAGATTTTAGAAGCTTTACCAAACTAGTAGAAAAATAAGTACCTTAACGAGAGCCTAAAATATATGTTTCAGATCCTCAAAATGTGGAATTGTTCATATTGTTATCAGTAATGATACTTACATACTAAATCTCAGTTCTTTCTTTCTATTTAAGCTGTTCACCATTATTTTTAAGGTTGCATTCACGTTCATTTTAGTTGCCAACTGTTGCATTCAGTTTCTTCTTACTTGTAATTTATTATGCTTGTTTGTTTCTTAGGACACCACTAGGTTTTAACTCTAAGCTTGATATTAGTGTTAATTTACATGCTCTAATTCTTAGTTAACTGTGATAACAGCGTAATCTTGTTGGGTATGATGAAGACCAACCACGGGTGCTTGAGAAAGAAGTCATCCTTGAGGATGCCATTGCTGATCTTCCATTAGTAAGGCTTGATAGTGTTTCTAGATGTTCATAATCTGTAAACCATGGTGCAAACTGTAGTTCTTCTACACAGGTCAAACATTCAGAAGACATGGATCAGATGCCATATGGAAAAAGCCCTCAAACCGAATTCCAGCGATACATTCGGATGCCAAAAGATGGTGCGTCATTATCTCATTAGAAGTAAAATTAAGTGGTGTATTGGAGTCAATTGTAGATTAACCTTTAGCCAAACATCATTTCATTGTTCTTGCAACAGTTCATTCTATGTTTTCCCTATAAAGCTTGAACTGATCTGTCCTCTTGAAATCTAGAATAGTATCTTTTCTTGGTCTAGCTGGTCCTGTCTTCAGTTATACTCATAAATGACAGGAATTTTCAACTTTTACTGTTGACTACTTGCCTGAGCTTGGTTTGTAGATCCATAAGATCTTGTATATATGACTAAGCATGAACTTTGAGCACTTGCCTTGTACCTAAAAATTTTAGAATTAGGTATGTTATTGTTGTCACTTTAGCAAAGTCGATTTGTCAAAACTTTGCCTATCTCTACATTTTTTTTCTGTACATGTTGGTCAGTGATTGTTAGAGTGTCAGATGAGGATAAGGATCCTTTCTTAAAGCAAGGTTCAGTATAGATCTTAGCATTTAATATACTGTTCCACTAATAAATGATATATGGATATGGTTTGAGAGACTTTAAAAATATATAAAATAAGTGTGAGAATAGATATCCACATCAAGATGTTAAATAGATAACGTAATCATATTCTTGTGAAGTATCTAAGTCTGTTAAATATATTATGTATCTATTCTCTTTTATTGTTGTCAACTCTTCTCTTATTCTCTTATCTATTTCTCCTTTCTTCTCCTGCCTTTTCTTTTTGGTCTCTTTGTTATTTATGCCAAGCTGCTTGTGCCTGTCATACACCAATTGTAGAAGCTCCTCCATATCCATAGGACCATGACCTTTACCTTGGATCTTTGCTACTTTCAGCCCTTAATGAGTATCTATCTTGCAGGGATCTTCTCCTGCATACTACCGTGGTCCAATCATTCCTCCTCCCTTGTCCCTCTACTGCATCTTATACAATATGATTTACTTATTTGTTCTTTTCTCCACACAAGTTTTTCTGCTTGTTGAGGCTGCATCAATTTTAAATTGCAAACCATAAATTAACGAAAATTTCTTCATTATTCTGATTGAAATATCTACACTCATAGTCTCTTGGAGAAATGCTAACCCCTACTCATAGTCTCTATGCCCTTTTGAACCATGTGGCTTCCAAGAATCATATTGATATGGAATTTGAATCATTGGAACTGTAATTGTTGTTTATAGTTATGTCCCACCAACTAAAGACAAAATCCGTATTACACGCTACCGTTCTTAACTATGAAATAGTTGTCCTATTTAGGTTCTTATCAATATGCTCCTTATTATTGTAAGGATTGGATCATTGCTAGTTGATAGGTAAATATTCATAACTGTTGATTATTTGGTGAACTATAGGTGAAGAGATAATACCATGGAATACAAAATTGCTTGAACTGTACATGACAGGTAGTTTATGCTGGTTTGGGCAACCACTGAGACACAGACCAATATAAACCAGTCTGTCCAAACCAAAATAGGGGTTATCATGCAGTAACCCTTGCAAATTGCCTTACCATCTGGTATAGGCCTTGTAATTGGTGCAGAAAGTCCATAGGATGGTCCATTTACCCAAGAGACCCCCTGGGGTCTCTATGGATGCCTTAAACTAGGAACTTGAGCCCGTCTTTTACTGCTCCTCTACCGGATGGTAAGCCCATTGAGTGGTTAATTGTCCCAAGAGATCCATGGGTTCTCTTTGGATGCCTTAAACCAGTCACTTGAACCCTTTTTTCTCTTCTACTCTTCCTCTTACACACCCATATCTCATGCTAGTTTCCCTCAGGATCTGTTCAAATCTCTCAAAAAGTCTTTCTCAAATCTCTTCCAAACTTGATCAAGACATCAAGGGCCTATTTGCTCTAGAAGAAGGTTGAAGTCCTAGATCCAGTTTAATTTGTTTCTCAATCAAAGGTAAAGTTGAACCCAATCTTCAAGCTATTTCTGTGATTAGGTTAGTGTTTATGCTTTCTCTTCTAACCTTAGCTTTGATCTCTTCCATATATACCACATTAGGTCTTGCTTGATCTATTAAGATTAGGCCTAGATTCTTTTAGATCTAAGCTAGATTTCTGAGAATCAATGCTTGATCCTTGATGATCTAGACTAGATCCATTGGAATAGGCTTGATTTGGATCCGATGCTTGATTGGGTTCATGTTCCAAACAACTAAGGCGACCCTCTATTTGATTTGATAAGAGACCCATGTCCATTGTGTTTCATTCCTGAGGTAATTCGAGAAGAAGAGGAACAACTGGGGTCCAGGATATCAATTGATATGAGGAAGAGTATCGCCCAATATCAGAATATGGTTGGACTTCGAGCAACCAATCTATTAGGGGTTGTGCCAAGATACAATCGAGAGAGACATGTGGCTATTGTGCATAGAAAAGGTTAGGTTTCATAGTCAATTGATTCGTTGGATGCAATTGATGAGCAACAGATTCAGTTGGGTGACAAGAAACATTTGTGCTTCATGTGGTCCATGGAGATACTAGTGACATGAATAGTAGTGCATCCACAGATGATGATGGTTTGGGTAACTCAATCTTCTTGTTTTGGCTTCTCAGAGTTGATGAGTGAGGCATGGAGCGATGAGCAGGATTTCACTCATACCATTTTGGACATGGATCATAGAGCACAAGGACCCATGAAGCTCGTTTATGAACGAAAAGATACAAGGAAAGAGGAAGAGGATTGATATATAGTTATCTACTCGCATATGTGGTAGAGCCTATACGATACAAAGATCATTAGGAGTTCATCTTATTCAAAACCTTCTTACTGATCTCATGGCCAACATATGCATGTTGAAAGTTGATTGTTTTTTTTTTTTTTCTAGTCAGATACATCTTATGGCATGCAATATTAGGACAATGACGAGAGTTGTTGCTCTGATCCACTCCATCCTACATAGTCATACTTGTTATGGTCCTACCCGCCTCAGGTGTCTCTTATCATGAGTGGTTCATGATGAGGAGGGCTACCACATTATTGCATCAATTGCACCCTGTTTATATTGGTATTAGATATTGTGAGAGCAGTTTCAGGCATGGGTTCTTTAATTTCAGCATATTATGGATCCCAATTCGGTTGTTGTGTATTCATGTTGATCATTTTGGTGATAAGAGTAGCTATTTATTTTAATTTTATATCTAATCTTGTACGCTTATATATTAGAACTCCTTTCTATGTACATGTATTCTTTAAGTATTGTTTGTGATCCTTATTGCATATAGATTTCAATTTAGCATTTATTAATTTCAAAATCTAAACCACTTTATTTTTATCAGATTTAATTTGTGAATAAAAGGTGAGATGTAACCCTAAAATAAGTTTTTAAATTTTTTGATTGACTCTTTGAGCTTTTTTGTACCAAGGTATGTATCGGCGTACCATGTTGTCTGTTGGTATGCTGGCATGTACCAAATCAACTCAGTCCATGCCTAGACCAGCATAGACCTGGTACATAAAATTGGATCCCAAATTATCCTTTTAGGATATTATGTTGTATTTCATGTATATCTAAGACCAATGAACAAACTGTGCCCATTCATCCGGATTCTTTCTGTGTACCGGAGGATCTTCTTGTTGACTATGCTCAGTATGTGATCCAAGTAGTCTAAAGACTAAACATCTATCAGTTTCTACACTAAGCAACTCAGGTGCCTAAAATGTCCTGACTAGTGGCATCTTTTCTGAGAAACACCAAATAGTTGTTGGGTGTAGAAATCTTCTCAAATCTTCCATTATGATTCCTGGAGTTAGAAATCTGCTTTGTGTCTGAGCCAACATCAGAAGAAGTCTTCGATAATTAAGGATGACTAATTTTTGCACTTGTTTGAGACAGATAGGTCCAATTTGAAGAAACCAGACCTTAAATAGCAGTACATCTTTGGTCACATGATTCCATCAAACTGGAGTGGAGATATGCCATAACTTGGCAAAGACCTTAAATAGCAGTACAATCTTGAACTCTTTTGTGTAGTGTGTTTGTGTGCTCACAAGCTTAATTAGGGTGATATGCCATAACTTGGCAAAGACCAAATTGGAGAAGCATGCAAGTTGATGAATTGCAATTTTAGGCATTGTGGCATATTAGATTAAAATAAATATGAAGAAAATTTTTCAAAAAGTTATTTTTAATTTGTTAACTAATTTTTTCTATACTAATTTCAATTTTTTTTTTTTGACAAAATAGAAATGTTGGGACTCAAAGAAAATGGTGCAAAAATATCTAAATCTATGTTGTATGATCATTGCACTTTACCACTAGGGGAGGATGATTATTTAAGAATTTCACAAATTCCACGAAAAAAGGTTCGTGCTCTGTACTGATTTTGTTCGAAATCCAATTACACCAGAAATTTATAAGATCTGATCTACATTGTTTGCTGAATTTTACAGGGAGCAAATTTTAGAGACCTCCCTGGTGTCATTGTTGGTTCTGATAATTCTGTGCAATTTGACCCCACAAGAGAGAGAGTACTGCTACCATCTGGAAGACCACTGGTAAGTCAATATTAATAATAAGCATTTAATTTTTTCCAAAAAAAAAGAATTTTATGAATGTACTAGATCAATCCAGTACATGGCTATGCTTTGAGTAACAAGGATGAATACACAGGTTATTGTTTCATTTTCTTTTAATAGTTATTTTCTACCATGGGTTTCCATAGCTTCTATCCAGTTTCCATTGATTATTCTTTTTCAAAAAATGAAAGCATGAAAAGGCATGTTGATGTGCATGTTACTGCTGAAGGATATATATGGTTGCATATACTGAATCTTTTTTCTTTTTCATTCAGGTCCCAGATTATGCCATGAACTTTGGACATGGAAAGTCATTAAGGTATTTTTTTTTTAATTTTCATTGACAACATGAGTTTCTGGATTTATCGTTCATAGAATGTTAGCATTGTTGTTGTTTTTCTGTAACATTATTATTAATTTGTTGTTCATGACCCTGTAGACCTTTTTCTCGTCTATGGTGGGATGAAATAGTGCCAACTGTAATCACCATACCTAATTTTCGCTGCCAGGTTGTTATAATTCCTTGTCTGGATTTGTAATGCTCGTCCGATGTTACCATCCATCCAACTGATTGTGGCATTTATAAACTTTCAGGCTATGATACATCCTGAGCAGGATCGGACCCTTAGTATCCGTGAATGTGCAAGGTTGCAGGGCTTCCCTGATTTCTACAGATTCTATGGGACAGTGGAAGAAAGGTACCATTAGTATTGTTTGGACACAATTAAGTTATTTTTAAAAAAATAGCATTACTCTGGGAGTCTGAGTGAAACTTTTAATCAGTTGTAAATTTTTGTTGGATGGTGATAGCAGTCATCTATACAAATTGAAATAACCTAGAAAATAGAAGTAGATAAATTAGGGATGAGACATCAAGGCCCAGTGAAGCTTTTTCTTTTAATCACATTCATCAGAACAAAGTTGCTAAGATTTGTCGTATACAGGGTCCAAGATCAATATCCTACAGGTCAACTCACTTTGGTCTCTAAACTTGTGTTGTTGTCATCCTCAATTGATCTAAATTGTTGCAATCAAGTTAGCTACTATCAAGAGACTTTAACAGAATGCACATGAGTTCACAGTCAACTATCAATAACAAAAACTAATAGGAAGGATCATATAGGTAATTTACCTTCTGGACACTATAGACTTGTAAAATAAAAACAATTCTTCAGCTAACCATTATAAATAAATTAAGTTTTTATTCGCCACACTGATCAGTGTTAAAATAGTATCACTGATTCCATTTAGGACTTCAAAACAATTAATCAAAACTAATGGCAATATTCGTCTGAATATTTCAAGAAAATTGTTACTCAATTTAATTGGTTAAAACAAACCCAAAATGCAATTCAGTTGCAATTCACTCGATTGTAATGGCCCAAGACCTAAATTGAATCTAATCTATAACCACAATGAACTCTTCCTTTATCAATTTGCTTTTAGTATGCAAACTTGCCCTCGAGAACTTTCTCTGTCCAAGTCCATGACAACACTTGAAGCATTGACATCTGATGATGGGTTCCTGATTCCCGTCTCAGGTTTGTACTAAAATTGTTCATTTGTGGTGTTGACTGGGGCATCTTGTTGATATGTTTTGTTGATTACTGCTGGTATTGCTTTCTCCTTATGAATTGATCAAATTGAGAATGTTCCTTAATGCATGATAGGGCTTATCACGACTAGTGGATTTGTTGTTCTGCCTGTTTGAGTGATTGGGAATGTCTCCGTGCAGATATCGCCAGATCGGCAATGCTGTAGCTGTTCCAGTCGGCCGCACTCTGGGTTATGCTTTGGCTATGTCATGGCTAAGAAAAAGTGGAGATGAGCCTTTGATGACACTCCCATCTAACTTCTCATTCTTATGCAAACTCCCTACCTCTTCTTAGGAATTTATCTTGTGAACATAATCCTCTCTTTGTCAACTCCATTGAGCTCTAAGATTTTTACTCAAGGCCTACCTTGATCGAGAGGGATAAATTCTCCTTACTATTGATAATTTGACCCTCTGCTCATTTAATCCTTTGAACCTGTAACCAATCCGACTAATGCTATTAAGATTCAACTGAACATAGATGAATTTCTTTCTCCCATTCCTTAAAGAAAATTCGTGTCTGCATTTAGAAATCATCCTGTAAATTAGATCTTTGCCCATTGACTTGTTGTTCATTAGCTTTCCTCAATCCATTGTTCCTCTACTGGGGAGGGTGACTTTCCATGCGTCTCCATCGTTGGTGGTCTACTGGTTGATTACATTTGGCATTTGATGCAAGTTGTCCGAGAGGCTGTTGTTGTTGCTGATTGTGTAACTTTCTATTGGGAGCTCTATCTGATCTGAAGAAGAATTATAGTAAAATCATCTGTCTGAGTTAGGGCATTTGTATTGCTTACAGTAGTGACTGACAAAGACTTGTCTTTGGCAGTGTAATATAGTGACAATTCCCTGTTGTATTAATCTTATTTGGGTTCTCCAATCTTCCAAGAATAAGAAAACGGATAGATGGAAGAAACTTGTTGCTTGTGCTGCCATTTTTCTTAGAACGGAAAACGGATGTGTTACAAATGAATTGATTTCATCTGGTTGCTTAAGTTGTATCCAGTTCACCGGCATTTCACCGGACTTGGATCGAGGCACTTCACCGGCATTTCCTTTTTGACGACAGGTGCATGGGCAGCAACTGATTCGATCCTGGCAATTGATCGAGCACCTTAGTCACTGACTATGGCTTCATTTCATTACATTCTCACTGCGCATTCCATCTCTGCACTGCTGCCTATTGTGGTTTTTACTTGATATAATTGCATATATA